TATGATTGTTTATCTGTCTAATGTCTTGAGCAGTACATCCACTTTAAATGTTATTTTATCACGACAGGTCTATTTCTCTCCTGCATGTGTGTGTTTAATGCTCGTGTGTTTTTGTGTAGGTCTACAGTACAGTGAGAGTTAGACCTGAAACTGTATTCAGATAATGCACCAGCACATGGCCATGTGTCCATAACATACAGTATAAGTTTACATTTGTCTGTAATGTTCCACAGTACGGTACACATCTGTCTCCCTGGAGACGAGCAGGTGACGGACATCATGTCGAGTTAAAGATCAGATAAGATCAGTAGTATCTTTGTGCTGTGTTTTGCATATGTACACATACACATACATGTACACGTACACATAAACGTACACGTACACATACACATACACATACAAGTGTGTCTGCTGATGTCAATAGTAAAATAAGTGGTGTTCTAGCCTCCAGAGACAGGATGCAGTGTGGACTTGATAGTGTACATGAACTCTGATCATTTGACACTAATCACAGACTTTATGTCATGTTTTAAATGTCACATTTCTACTTCTCCATTGAAATGAATGGAATGGGATTCTTGAAAGTGCCAACCACAACAGCAGTACGGTTGTAAAAAGTATTGAAAATTAGATACTCATCAATACTAGATCTAGTTTTGAAATTAGATACTTATTTCAACAGGTATGGGCACTAAAAAAGTCACATTCACAGTAGGGATGCACTGATACTGATATAGATATCAAATATCGTGCCGTTTCTGAAAAATCTGTTCTTCAACAATATCCTGGTTGGGCCTTTAATGGAAAGTAATAAGACCATTTACAGGTTGATTTTGGCTTAGAACATCTCATAAAGTTTGAACTTTTATTCACAAAAGCAGTGATGTGAGGGAGAAATAACACTTACATAACACTATTAGAGCTCATGTTTAATAAGTGAACTTTAAGGAAATAAGGCCCATTTTCTGTCCCTACATTAGTATCAGTTAAATCAGGTATCAGCAGATACTTAAAGTCAAAGTATCGATATCATATCAGAGCTGAAAAAGCTGGATTGGTACATCCCCAGATCACAAGACAGAAATGAGCCTTTCCTGAATGTCTTCAGAATGATGTTGAGCTGTATCAGAAGAAGCATAAGAGCACATAGACTAGTATACACCCTGGACCACTATGGAACCTACCTGCACTACTGAGGGATTATACACATATAACACCTGATAGTAATATAAAAGAAAACACTATTATTTAATACTGAAAATCACATTCTATTGCCTAAATAAAGACATTGTCTAAAATGTTTTTTATTATCATTGTGGTATCAGAATCTTTATATAGTCTGTTCCTTAGTATCAAAATTGTGAAAGTTTAACATTGCAGTATCGTGAAAACACTACTTAAGCATTGAACATTTCACACAAGCAAACCAAAGTTTATGTAATATTTTGGTGGTGAGACTTTTATCTAGTTCTTGGAATGACTGGGAAGTGCCAACCACAACAGAAGTGCGGGTTAGAAGCAGCCAGAAAAAAAAACAAACGTGGGCCAAATAACCAGCCTAATAAAAACATGAAGAAAACAAGTCTTATTTAAACATACAACAATGAAACAAAACACAATATATTCTGATGAGGAAACAATATTATTACACAGGGTTAAAGGACTCATATTTCACAATTTTCTGATCTATGTTGTAATCTTGTTTCCTCATAAACAGACCTGGAGTTTCACAAATCAAATAACAATTCTGTTTCATGTGTAATATGAATATGTAATAATTTTTTCTCACATCAGTCATTTAGCATAACACTGCCACATATGAACAGAGAAGTTCTCCATCATGGGGTTTGGAATATTTTCTAAAATTTGCTCCGATGGATGATGTTGCTGATTAAATGGCAAACAAAATCACTCCAGATGGTCCACTCTGCGTGAAACTTTAAACTGTCATTTCCTGAACAATTCAGATTTTGAATAGAAGCGCAGCATATAGTTCTAAAGTGGCCTCCATTCACTTAATGTACTGCCCCAATATTTGAAATCTGTTTAACTGGTCTGGTTAATTCCCTTTAGAATCATCTCAAAATTATACATATTACTCATAACTAGAGTAGATTTATACACAGCAAAAAGTGGAGCGTTAAAATTGACTCTCACAGAATGAATTTTAACATTTTCTCAGGGTTTATATGAGTCCAATCTGTTTTAGTGTTAATTTAATATTTTTGGAAATGTTAATTAAGTAACACTGGACCAAAGTTCCTGTTTAACTCAAAATCAAGAGTTATATTAATGTTTTGAGAGTAAACGAATAACACTTCGTTATCCTGATTTAGCTCAACAACACACCGAGGTGTCTTATTTTTACACTTTATTTTAAGTTAAGATGAAATTATGAACAAAACTGGTACAAATTGGTCTTCTCTCATAGGAGTTTGAAGTGGTGGGTGGGAGGTGCCAAATTAACACTAAGGAAATTTAAAATAACTTCAGCCATATGAATTCTGGCAAATAACCCCAATTCAAACCCCCATTTAACTTCCAAATAATTAAAATAACAGTTTTTTTGTTAAAAACAACTCTGAAATATTTCACCCTGAAATTTTAACCCTCCAGTTTTTACTGTGTACAACTTCAATTAGTATAAGTTGTATAGTTTATGTAATTTCTACATTGAAGACAGACACATGCATACACCAATGTACACAGACGCTGCAGGTGAGTAGTAGTGGTTGTAGTAGTAAATAATAGTAGTACCACGGGAGAATCAGTAGCGGTTGTAAATAAAGTATGCAATAGTGGAAGCAAAAGTAGTAGTAGTAGTATTAGTAGTAATAGTAGTAGTAGTAGTAGACCTAGTAAAATGCTTTTCTATATTCAAGACACACACATTCACAGGCACTGGGGGTACATACTAGTAGTAGTCGCAGTAAGTAACAGTAGTACCACAAAAGAAGCAATAGTGGTTGTAAATAGACATATGCCATAGTGGAAGCAAAATTAGTAGTAGTAGTAGTAGTAGTTGTTGTTGTAGAAGACCTAGCAAATTCTACTCTACATTCAAGACTCACACATTCACACACTGATGTACACAGACGCTGCGGGTGAGTAGTAGTAGCTGTGATAGTAAGTAATAGTAGTACCACAGGAGAATCAATACTGGTTGAAAATAGAAGTATGAAATAGTGGAAGCAAAACTGCTAGTAGTAGTAGTAGACATAGTAGTAATAAGTAATAGTACTACCAAGGAAGAAGCAATAGTGGTTGTAAAGAGTAGAAGTAAAACTAGTAACAGTAGACCTAGTAGTAGTAAAAGGCTTTTCTACACTCAAGATGCACACATTCATACACCGGTGTACGCACACACTGGGGGTCAAGCGGGTTAAGTGTCTTGCCCAAGCACACAACAACAGCATCCATATGTGGGAGTTGAAATTGTACCGACAACCTTCAGAGGGCAAACAATACTAACTGAGCTACTGTCCTACTGTAGCAGTAGCAGTAGTAGTAGACCTAGCAGCAGTAGTAGTAGTCATATTAGTAGTAATAGTCATAGTAGTACCACAGGAGAAGCAATAGTGACTGTAAACATATAAGTATGCAATAGTGGAAGCAAAAGTAGTAGTTGAAGTAGACGGACCAAGTAGTAGTAAAATACATTTCTACATTTAAAACACACAGATGCTGGGTATTGGGTTAAGCATCTTGCCTAAGGACACAACAACAGCATCAATATGTGGGAGATGGAATCGCACCACCAACCTTCAGAGTGCAAACAACACTAACTGAGCTACTGTCACACTGTAGTAGTAGTAGTAGTTGTTGTAGTAATAGTAGTAGATTAGTAGTAGTAATAGTAGCAGTAGTAAAATAAGTAGTAGTAGCAGTTGTAGTAGTAGTAGTAGTAGTAGTAGTAGTAGTAGCAGCAGTAGTAGTAGTAGTAGCAGTAGTAGTAGTAGTAGTAGTAGTAGCAGTACATACGGGAGAAGTCAAAGTGATTGTAAATATACAAGTATGCAAAAGTGGAAGCAAAAATAGTAGTAGTGGGAGTAGACCAAGTAGTAGTGCTGGGGGTGTGGTGGGTTAAGTGTCTTGCCTAAGGTCACGACAGCAGCATCCATATGGGAGCTGGAATTGCACCAGCAACCATTAGAGGGCAAACAATACCAACTGAGCTACTGTCCCCACTGTAGTAGTAGTAGTAGTAGTAGTAGTAATACGTAGTAGCAGCAGTAGCAGTAGTACCACAGGAAAAGCAATAGATATTGCAAATATATAAGTGTGCAGTAGTGGAAGCAGATCTAATAGTAGTAGTAAATACGCTGGGGGTGCTGGGACTCTGGTGGGTTGAGTGTCTTGCCCAAAGACACAGCAACAGCATCCGTATGTGGGAGCTGGAATCGCACCAGCAACTTTCAGAGGGCAAACAACACTAAGTGAGCTACTGTCTCCACTGTAGTAGTAGTAGTAGTAGTAGAAGCAGTAGTAGTAGTAGTAGAAGCAGTAGTAGTAGTAGTAGTAGCAGTAGTAGCAGTAGTAGTAGTAGTAGTAGTAGTAGTAGTAGCAGTAGTAGTAGTAGTAGTAGTAGTAGAAATAGTAGTATGCTGTTATTTGTTATCTGTTTTGCTTACCTATAGAGCCATCCACATTGTTAGTTTTTATCTATTTTTTCTGAACTTTGTATTTAATTCAGCTTCAGTTTGGTGAAATATGGTAAAAATTCAAAATGACAAGCTCCTTATCATTCAAAAAAGACTATAGCATCATAATTAATCAAATATTTGCCAAACCCTACCTGTATCTGATCCGTTTGGAGATGCTGGACGCGCGCTCTCTGCCTCTGCGTCTCTGTGTCTCCCCAAACTGCGCTTATTTTAGCACTCTGTATTTTGACACGTGTTCGCCGGTAAATAAAGCATCAAGACGTGACATTTCCACTCAACAACCCACGCTTTCTGTGGCTTTTAACCCCAAATCCATCCCTCTGTGCGCGTACTCACCTCGGCAAACTTCCCACGGTGCAAAAACTCGCTCAGGGCAGATTCAAACGCGATGTCCGCATGTTGGCCGTGGATTCAGACGTGTGGGCATTATTTAGGTTGGACTTAAAATGTAAAGTTGAGTGGAAAAGTCCGTGTCGCTCACATGTCTTCGCTTTGAGCAGAAATAGCGCTGTTTTCACGTCCCTTGGTGCGTGCAACAGGCTGCAGCTTTGGCACGGCAAGCGCGCAAAGTTAAGCGCGCAAACATCCGGGCTCTTTCAAAATAAAAAGGGGAATTTTCAAAAAGGAAACCTCTTATTAGGCAAAATGATTAGGCAAAACGGGCTGTTGTGAGATTTTAGGATGTTAAAATGCTGTTACTTCATAAAAATACATACCTGGAGTAGTGTTTTGTTTCATTCACACATGTTTGAGTAATCAGCAGATCTTGCCCACCAATCTCCAAAGACAATTTTCATAGAGAGAAAGTCATTATAATCTGAAAGGAATTAAAATCTTACAAAAAAAAAAACTCTAAAATATTTGACACTGAAATTTTAACTCTCCAGATTTTGCTGTGTACAACTTGATTTAGTATTAGTTTTTGATCTAATACACAAATAGTACTATGTATGTAATATGTAACAATGGAAGCAAAAGTAATAGTAGTAGGTGTAGGTGTAGTACTAGTAGTAGTAGTAGTAGTAGTAGTAGTAGTAGTAGTAGTAGTAGTAGTAGTAGTATTAGTGGTAGACCTAGTAAAATGCTTTTCTATATTCAAGACACACACATTGACAGGCACTGGGGGTACATAGTAATAGTAGTTGCAGTAAGTAACAGTAGTACCACAGAAGAAGCAATAGTGGTTGTAAATAGACATATGCTATAGTGGAAGCAAAAGTAGTAGTAGTAGTAGTAGCAGTAGTAGTAGTAGTAGTAGTAGTAGCAGTAATAGTAGTAGTAATAGTAGTAATAGTAGTAGTAGAAGCAGACCTAGGAAATTCTACTCTACATTCAAGACTCACACCTTCATACACTGATATACACACGCTGTGGGTGAGTAGTAGTAGTAGTTGTGATAGTAAAGTAATAGTAATACCACAGGAGAATCAATACTGGTTGAAAATAGAAGTATGAAATAGTGGAAGTAAAACTGCCAGTAGCAGTAGTAGTAGTAGTAGTAAGCGGTAGTAGTAGTAGTAGTAGTAGTAGTAGTAGTAGTAGTAGTAGTAGTAGTAGTAGTAGTAGTAGTAGTAGTAGTAGTAAGTAATAGTAGTACAAAGGAAGAAGCAATAGTGGTTGTAAAGAGTAGAAGTAAAACTAGTAGTAGTAGACCTATAGTAGAAAAAGGCTTTTCTACACTCAAGATGCACACATTCATACATCACTGACACATGTTTGAGTAATCAGCAGATATTGTCCACCAAGTCATTATAATTTGAAACGAGTAAAAAAATAAAAAATAAAAAATAAAACAGATTCAGGACAATAACATTGGAAAAATGTGTTTCAACCTATGGAACAGTCTCAAAGTCTCAAACTCAAAGCTCTATCCAAGTGTTTAAAAGAAATGTTAAACATGATATTCCAAAAAAATATTACGTATAAACTGTCCTTTTGTCCAAATTAATAAGTATTTAATCTGGTGCATGTCACGTAAATAAGTTGCTAAATGTAGTTGGAACTGTTAGAAGCAGAGGTGGGGACTTGCGAGTCGTGACTTGGACTCGAGTCAGACTTGAGTCACTATTTTTAGGACTTGAGACTTGACTTGATAAAATAGACTAAGACTTGGGACTCGACTTGAACTTGAAGATTAATGACTTGGAACTTGGCTTGGACTTGAACCCCGTGACTTGAGAAGACTTGATGTTTCCCGCAAAAAATATCTCTTTACTGTAGATAAATGCTCTGGTGAATTTTAGAGAAACAAAACTGGAACATGTCCCTCCCACTTCTGTTTGGTACTTTGGATGGAAATGAAGTACTGTGATACTCAAATGCAACAGTAATATACAGAACAATATAGTAAAACAGAAGGAACTACATAGAACACAATCCTTTTATTTCAGTGCAAATGACACAACAAAAATAGTTGATGTTTAGCACTTTTCAATCTTAATTCTTTCTATTCTGAGTCATGACTCACACTAAGAGCTTGTCAAAACATTTAAAAAGAAAACAATTGCATTTCTACAACTCTAACATGCTCTATAAATACTCATATATAAATATACCATGAATTTTTAAGAACAATGTAGTTTAAAATTCATATAAATTTCAAAAATCTAACCTATATTTGATATTTTGGTTTAAATACTTGAAATGACTTGAAGCTCAAAGGAGATGACTTGGACTTGACTTGGACTTCTGGGCCAGTGACTCGAGACTCGACTTGGACTTGCCTGTATTTGACTTGGGACTTGACTCGGACTTGAGGTCAAAGACTTGAGACTTACTTGAGACTTGCAAAACAACGACTTGGTCCCACCTCTGGTTAGAAGTGTTAGAAATGTTTTAGTTTGTGTGAAAAGGGGCAGATATGACAAGTCTGTACTTCTTCTTTCTGCTTTATGTTACTATTAGTCTGTCCACATCTCCAAGGCTCAAAATGATCTGTTCCACCTTGTGATGTCATGAAGCGGTATTTTTCAAGTACAACAGATCCTTTTACCTTTTGTTCAGTAGAGATTTGCAATTGAGTTGAAATGATCCAAATGATTCTGGTAAAAACACAGTGGAGCACTTCCTATTTGAGAGAAGAACTCAGCCTAAATCTGCAGGTTTGTGTGTTAAACGTGTGAATGAAACAAAACACAATTCCAGGTCTGTTTGTGATGAGGAAACTACATTATAACACAGATTAGATAACAGCATAATCAAACCCACCCGGAGAGTGAGACCAGACAGACAGCGCGCTATGGTGAGTACTTACTTGGCTTTAACACTGTTGCCTGCTGCTATTACCCAAACTTGGTGTTTTTGCTCCGGCCTGATGTGTAGCGAGATGTGTCCAACTGCTGTTTTATATTTAAAGCAGTGAGGTTATGGTGATAACTTGGGATGTGTTTTACAGTGCAGCCTCGTCAATAATATAGATAAAACTCTTGACCAAACTTAAATAAACAAAATTTTGGCTTATATGATTGTAAAAAAACAACAACTATATATTAAGAGGCAATGTGTTTCAGCCTGTTAAAAGTTGTTTCCCTGAGCATTTTAGCGTGCTTTAGACCTGCCTCAGCTGCACAATCATTCCTGTCATGAAAGATTCAGTTTATGTTTTTCATAGTTTGGGTCCAGTTTAGTTCTGGTTTAGATCTGGTTTTGTTTTTGTTCAGACCTGGATTCATGACAACTTAGTCCAGTTCAAGTTCTGTGCAAAGTCCTGGTATCCTTGTGTGTTTTCTATAGCCTAGTTCTCTACTAACTCATAGATAACAGATTATACTGAATGTTTTATATAGAAGACATTTTGAAGTTGGTGTGTATGGCCAAAAGTCACCCTTATGTAACAGATAATACTCCCTACAACTCTACAACAACTCACCCTTATGTAACACATAATACTCCCTATAACTATACAACAACTCACCCTTATGTAACACATAATACTCCCTACAACTCTACAACAACTCACCCTTATGTAACAGATAATACTCCCTACAACTGTACAACAACACACCCTTATGTAACAGATAATACTCCCTACAACTGTACAACAACTCACCCTTATGTAACAAATAATACTCCCTACAACTGTACAACAACACACCCTTATGTAACAGATAATACTCCCTACAACTGTACAACAACTCACTCTTATGTAACACATAATACTCCCTACAACTGTACAACAACTCAGCCTTATTTAACAGATAATACTCCCTACAACTGTACAACAACTCACCCTTATGTAACACATAATACTCCCTACAACTCTACAACAACTCACCTTTATGTCACAGATAATACTCCCTACAACTGTACAACGACTCACCCTTATGTCACAGATAATACTCCCTACAACTATACAACAACTCAGCCTTATTTAACAAATAATACTCCCTACAACTGTACAACAACTCACCTTTATGTCACAGATAATACTCCCTACAACTGTACAACAACTCAGCCTTATTTAACAGATAATACTCCCTACAACTGTACAACAACTCAGCCTTATTTAACAGATAATACTCCCTACAACTCTACAACAACTCACCTTTATGTCACAGATAATACTCCCTACAACTGTACAACAACTCAGCCTTATTTAACAGATAATACTCCCTACAACCGTACAACAACTCACCCTTATGTAACAGATAATACTCCCTGCAACTGTACAACTCAGCCTTATTTAACAGATAATACTCCCTACAACTATACAACAACTCACCCTTATGTAACAGATAATACTCCCTACAACTGTACAACAACTCAGCCTAATTTAACAGATAATACTCCCTACAACCGTACAACAACTCACCTTTATGTAAGATAATACTCCCTACAACTGTACAACAACTCAGCCTAATTTAACAGATAATACTCCCTACAACTGTACAGTAACTCACTCTGATGTGACAGATAATACTCCCTACAACTGCACAACAACTTACTTTTATGTAACAGATAATACTCCCTACAACTGTACAACAACTCACCTTGAGTGGAGTTCCCTCTCCACAGATCTGGCCTGTAATTTGACTCAGACTTAGATTTAGACAAATTTTATTGATCCACAAGGGAAATGACTTGGACAGAGCAGCTCACACATCACAATATAATAGAATAAGAGAAGAGAAATGGCGGATGTGTTGGTGTCACCCGCTCGTCTCCATGGAGTTAAATAAGTTAAATGTCAAATTATGAAAAACACAATATAGAAAAACAACATCTGCACTGAGACAAGCAGGTAAAGTTACACAGTGTCCCTTTAAGATGTTTTTATGTTACCCAAACTGACACCCATGAGCTCATTGTTGCCATGGCATCAGAGCTTATTGGATTTGGCAAGATCAGGAAGTGTGTGTTATCATTTTTGTTTGACTTGACCTGAAACTTGATTTTTGAGGAAGTCACACTGATAAAGAAGTTCTGAAATAACGACATTGTTCACAAAACAGTGAACTAAGATCACAGCGAAATAAACCCATTAGCCCAGAGGATTGGATTATCTTGTCATGACACTAATATTTAATTTCAGTTTGGATATTAAGGAATACACTCGATACTCAAAACTGATTCCGATACCACGATGATAACAAAAAAACACTATAAAATGTCATTTTCAACATGAACTGTCAGTACTTGATACATCATGAATTTTGAACTTCCGTCATTGCGCAATTCATACTGGGATGGATTTTCTGAAAAAGTGAGCATCAAATCACCATGTTTGTTTTCCCAGTGGGATGTGTCTATTGACAAAACCAGTCTTTTCTAGACTTTTGAACCATATCCCTTTTGTTTCTGGTTCTGATATTGTCATATTTTAGTTTTGGGATTAGGACCTTGTAATTGTGTTGTTGTTGGATCCTAACAGTGGGAAATGACTTGAGAAATTTGTTTGTGAACTCCATAACTGCAAAAGGGAATCAGATGTGTGTGACTGCAAACCTCCGTTCAAACTGTTTCCCTTCCCGCCGAAATTGAAAAATTGTGAAAGGTGAAGGTGATGGACAGTACTGATCCACAGGAAAGATGAAAAAGAAAACCTCTCACTGCCTAAATCATCTTGAGTTTGCAGTGACCATTTTGTATGTGGAGCACCATCAAAGCGGGACCCGTTTGTTAAGCGAGAGGTGCAGAAGACAAACAGACTGAGCTCTCACTTTCTATTTCTTATTGTTTTACAGTAACATCATGGTCTTCTTGGTCACTTTGTAGTGGAAGGTGTTTCTTGGTGAACAGCTGGTGCCTTTCACTTTTGCGTTGACTTTTTAAATTCGTAACCAAGGTGGAGTGACAGATTGGGATTTTGCTTTGATGACGCTTCACATACAAAATGTTCGCTGCAAACTCAGGATGATTTAGGCAGTCAAAGGTTTCCTTTTTCGTCCATCCTGTGGATCAATACTGCCCATCGCCTTCGCCTTTCACTATTTTTTCAATTCCGTCGGGAAGGGAAACAGTTTGAACAGAGGTTTGCAGTCACACAAATCTGATTCCCTTTTGCGGTTATGGAGTTCGCAAACAAATTTCTTGAGCCATTTTCCGCAGTCAGGACATGTAACAATCACACAATTACGATGTCCGAGTCCCAAAACTAAAATATGATGATATCAGAACCAGAAACAAAAGTGATATGGTTGAAAAGACTCGAAAAGACTGGCTTTGTCAATAGACGCATCCCACTGGAAAAACAAACATGGTGGTTTGATCCTCACTTTTTTTGGAAAATCCTTCCCAGTATGAATTGCGCAATGACTGGACGTCTGAAATTCATGATGCATCTATTCCCATGTGGTCTCATATCTGTGTAATCCCTCGAATGCCCACCTCATACAGTGATGAGAGACAATGAAAATTACGAGATGCCTGCTCAGACGTCGCCCAGACAAACAAGGTTGGTGTCAGGTGCTGGGGAACGAGAGCACCTTGATGAAAAATGGGCTACTGGTACACGGAGGAAATGGGCAAGATGTGAGAACAAGGCACTGTTGGAATGCTACTACTGCAGTAACCCGAGTCAGAGGAGTTACATGAATAGGATGTGGGAGAAATGGTTACTACGATACCCACAGTCCAAGCTGACAGCCAAACAACTAGTAGCTCAGTGTTCCAACATCCACAAATGGCAATTGCTATCACAACTAGAGATGGAACCAGGACACCAGGTCAGTGAAGTTCCGCAACATTGTTTATTACGTGATCACCGAAGGGTTGACCAGGTTTTGTATTCACCCTGTGTGTCTGTGTGTCTGTCCACCCGCAATAATTCCACCATTTATGGACCGATTGTCACCAAATTTGGTACGTGGATCAAGCCCCCGTGCCCAATGCCGCAAAAAAGTTTGGTGATGATCTGAGGTCATTTGAGGTCACATGGGTCAATTGAAAGGTCACACCATTATAAAGGACAGGCAATTTCGCCAATTTCTGAACCATCTGCGGCCTAAAATATTCACCCAATCATCACACAAGTTGGCACACACATAACACTGTGTACACTGGATGTTACAGGTTGAAACCGGTCCAGGTCACTTGAAGGTCAAGGTAACTAAGGTCAAATATGTGTTTTTGGTCATAACTCCATGAAGGATGGAGCTAGAGCAACAGGAGTGCTCTCAAAATCTCAGAAAAATTATTATGTATTTATAATTCTATGCATTTGTATAGTCAAATATGAATAGTTTTCTAGATAATCACTAATTATAACAATTTCTTTCTCTTCCAGTGTAGTCGTTAAAATTCTAATTGGAACGAAAATAATTTCCATTTCTTGTTTTTCTGGTGATACACAACACACTGATCTACAGTCACACAACTAACATATACACAACTCATGAAAAATGACATTTTGGTTACACACTAGTAAACACAGACAGACAGACAGTTTTTCTAAGTCTAAGTCTAAATGTATTCAAGTCATTTTAGGGTCCTTTTACTAAACTGGAATTTCTTGAGTAAGCTATAGTAAACATACAATAGCTTATTCTCTAAAGTCACACAAATGGGTCTCATCCAACTTTTCTTTCTGAGCTGAAGAAAAGGCTCCAGAGGCAGAGGACGTGCTGAGAATTTCAATGGTTTTGTGACCGGTCCAAAGAGTCCAGAGTCAAACCCAGACACTGTACTAGAATATGTAAACAGTCCACTTTTTAAACAGGCTGTGGTCAGACCTGAGTACTGCACAAGGATTTACATGAGAAAAATCACTTTTATTCACCGTTTTGACTGCTTTTATGTGTGTTTAGTTTCAATTCAAATGCCCATGACAAGTTGGACTACTCATTTTACTAAAACACTATTAAGATTGTTATTTTTAAAGTTCCATTTTGTAACTTTTCTAGTGGAGGGTCCGTCATCACAGTCAGAATGCCTGTTTTTGTTTTGTTTTTTTTTAGATATTTTTGAGCTATAAAACCACCTCTAACTGAATAAATGTAAAGTAGAGCTGTTTAATGTCACACTGTGGAACATTACAGGCAGAGCAATGACATATCCATAGAAAACAAGCAGGTGACAGGCGCCCAACCCAAAAGTTACACAGTCCACCTTTAAGATTTTACTAAAAATATTGTAAAAACTCCCCACTTTGGTAGTTTGTTAGGGAATTCCATCATGGTTACCTAGCAACCATGTAGTACACTGGGCCAAAACTCCTCTAACGTACACAGTATAGAACGGAATATTATTTGGCATAAAACACCTTTACTTTTTAAAAATAATTGTTTAAGTAAAAAATCTTGTGTAAATTGTGTTTTACTTTTGGACAGAATTCTCAGTCAGAACTCTGCACTTCCTGTACTTTTCAGCATTTTTTTTTCTTACAAACTGCCTCTTGAATTGTGTAAAAGTATAATTTATATTTACAACAGGTATTATTCCACGAGATTATGTCAAAAGTTGAGACTCTTCAAAACCTTCTAATGTCATACACACTATAAATGTGTGTATGTGCTGTTACACTTCTCTGGTAGAGCATTTGCTTGTGGAGTGATGCTGTTGCTTTTCACAGAATGTTCCACAGTTAAGCTTATCTGCTATCACCATGGAGACAAGCTCAGGTGGAGAGGAGACCCAGGTCACAGTAAGAATTCATCATTTAAAGACTATTTATGTCAATTAAACACCTGTTATTAGATGCAGTAGATGAGTTTAATGCCATACTGTGGAACATCTAAGCAAACATTCCACCCGAAAAGTTACAGCGTGCTCCTTTAAGAAAAAATCATATGTGCATGAAGTAAGATTTAAAGATCTTATATTACGCAAAACTGACTTCTTGTGACCTTTAAGCCGTGTTAGAATGTTGAATGTGTTTTGTTTCATTCACACGTTTGAGTTACTGTTGTAATACTCAAGACCGTTTCCAGCTTAGTCTTGGTCTTGGTCTCGTCTCAGACTCAAGGGCATTTGGACTCAGTCTTGTCTTGGTCTTGATGGTGCTTGGTCTCGGTCTTGTTTTGGATTCGAGGTCTGGCGCTCAGCGAGTACGATCATATTTCATTACGGTACGGTAAATGTGCAGAGGCTGCTCAATATAACTGCAAAACCAGTAATGGAATGAACCTGTGAATGTTATGAACTTGAAAAAAAAACATTTGATTCATTTTGAAGTTGTTTTCTGTAAAGTAGCAGTGGAAGTGGGATTAAAGAAGAGGTTCTCAAACTGTGGGTGAGATGCACAAAAAAGGGGCGCAGAGTGTTTAAATGCAGTACAGTTTGTTTGGCTTATTTTAACTTTAAATGAGCTCAGATCATCTTGTGGTGTCAAGTGAACAGCTCCTTTTACCTTTAGTTCAGTAGAGATTGACAATTCCAGGACTGAAATTAACCAAATGATTCTAGTGAAGGTGTATGGAGTTTAAAAACACAGTGGAGCACTTCCTGTATTACCACACGACATCACAAGTGTGAATGAAACAAAACACAATTCCAGGTCTGTTGGTGATGAGGAAAAAAAACATTAGAACAAAGATCAGAAAATTGGGTAACATGGACCGTGTCATTTGAATGTTTTTGCTGTGAATTTTAAATAAAAGCTCAACAAACTGTTCACCAAATGTTTGTTATTCATCACAGTGGTATAATTACATGTCTGTCACCATTATAAATGTATCATTCTGAAGGCAACTTTATGCACTCATAAATGGACAGTGATTTAGGTTTTATGAGCATCTAATTGTACCTAAAGGTTTGCCCTCTTTCTTATAATCGTCATAGTTTCTTACGGCCACTAAAATGAGCAGCTCTCTGGCTTTTTTTTTTTTTTTTTTTTTGTGAAGGTAGCTCACCTGAGGAAAAAGGTTGGAGACCCCAGTTCAGGCCTTTATAAGTGAGGCTTTTATTGTGAAAAAGTTGCAGTAAATGTATGGTAGTAGTAGTAACAACTGTGATAGTAATGGAAGTAGTAGTAACAGTGTTGAAGAAATATCTGCAGTTATAAATAGGTTTTTGAATAAAGTTTTTCATTTCGGTCCTAAGGAATAGACCCTATACTTGATACCGATTCTGATACCATGATGACAAAAACATAAACTCTTTGTTTAGACAATAGAATGTGATTTTCAGCATTAAACGGTAGTACTTTCTTTTCTATTCCCATGTGCTGTGTGGTCCAGGTACGTTCCATAGGCTCAAGATCATTCTAAAACATGTACTTTCGATACTAGTTTTAATATTGATTAAGATCTGACTTTGGATACTTTTGACAACCCTCATTCACATTGTGGTATGGCAGTTCTACTTAAATAATATTCTCGTTTTTCTTAGGTTCAGGAGGAGAGGGGAGAGGAGCTGTCCGGGGTTGAGGTTGTCTGTAGAATCTGAACTGCAGCGTCTCTGTTGTGTCTGCGAGCCTCGTGCAGCGGAGAGCTCCCCCACCTGGACACAAACACAAAACTACATCAACACACAGACATAAGACATGTGTAGATGCTCTAATCAAGGCTGAAAATGTAACCAAACAATGACACCTGCCTATTCCCCTGAGCTTTTGTCTGTATTTTGGACAGTAGTTTATGGAGAATTATTACATTTTAATTATTATCAAATGCTCAAATTTTAATCTTTTTTAATCTTTAATCTTTAAAAACACTGCTGGATTCACACAGCTTCCTTCTGTTTTTTGGACAAATTGCACAATGGTAGTAGTGGTAGTAGTAGTAGAAAACTAGTGGTAGTAGTAGTAGTAGTAGTAGTAGTAATAGTAGAAAAGTAGTAGTAGTTGTAGTAGAAAACTGGCTGTAGTAGTAGAAAACAAGTTGTAGTAGAAAAGTAGTTGTAGTAGTAAAAACTACTTGTAGTATTAGAAAAGTAGTAGCAGAAAAGTAGTAGTAGTAGAAAACTACTAGGAGTAAAAAACTAGTAGTAGTAGTACAAAAATACACTTTGATAGAGCAAGAGTGCAGCAGTAAAAATGAATAAACAAAGTGGTAGTATTGATACGGTACTAGTAGTAGTAGCAGTTGTAGTAGTAATAGTAGTTGTAGTAGTGATAGTAGAAAACTAGTAGTAGCAGAAAAGAAATAGTAGTACAAAATACACTTAGAACAGATAGAACAAGACTGCAGCAGTAAAAATTAATAAAAAAAACCCACTAGTAGTAGTATTGATGCGGTACTAGTAGTAGTAGTAGTAGTAGTAGTAGTAGTAGTAGTAGTAGTAGTAGTAGTAGTAGCAGTAGTAGTAGTAGTAGTAGTAGTAGTAGTAGCAGTAGTAGTAGTAGTAGTAGTAGTAGTAGTAGTAGTAGTAGTAGTAGTAGTCAGTAGTAGTAGTAGTAGTAGTAGTAGTAGCAGTAGTAGTAGCAGTAGTAGTAGTAGTAGTAGTAGTAGTAGTAGTAGTAGTAGTAGTAGTAGTAGTAGTAGTAGTAGTAGTAGTAGTAGCAGTAGTAGTAGTAGTAGTAGTAGTAGTAGTAGTAGTAGTAGTAGTAGTAGTAGTAGCAGTAGTAGTAGTAGCAGTAGTAGTAGTAGTAGTAGTAGTAGCAGTAGTAGTAGCAGTAGTAGTAGTAGTCGTAATAGCAGCAGTAGTAATAGTAGTAGTAGTATTTGTAGCAGTAGTAGTAGTAGTCGTAGTAGTAGCAGTAGTCAGTAGTAGTAGTAGTAGTAGCAGTAGTAGTAGTAGTAGCATTTTTAAAGTTCTTTTTAAATTTCACAATGAGTGGAACAAAACAAAGTAAAAGTAGTAAAGTACTGTAACTTTTACTTTTTAAATACATTTTTTTTACGTAACGATTAGACACTTTTGTACAACCCTACTCCTTTCCTGAATTTAGAATGTATTTCAGATTTTAGAATATATTTGTATTGTTTGTTTTTTTTTCATATATTTTTAAAATTAAGAACACTGGCAATTGAACAATGAAATACACAGTTTACTTGGTCACCACACATTACAAAATTTTTCTGTCTTAAATGATTTTTAAACATGCAACAAAAAGCGCACACCACAAACACAAAGAGAATCTTATGAGACTTAAAATCTCTGATTTCAAAGACTGCAGCGGGACATGTCTGCGGACCACAGGATATAAAGTTGTGAGCACGATCACGCCAGCTGTTTCCTGTCTACAATAAAACCAGTCACTCTGAGACTCTTAAGTGTTCAAAAGATCAGAGCACTGCACTTTAGTAAAACCTGTTAATATTACTTCAGATACATGATTTTTAAAGTATAAAAAATTGGTGATAAAGTCCACAGGAAATAGAGTCACTATCACTAGTCGCTGTGTGGATGTGAACAGACACATATGAGGAACTACTCTCACCTTTTTACTTTTAAAGTTAATTAATAGCTCAGTTTTTTAGACTGTCATTATTTGCGGAGGACAATCAATATAGATAATGTGGATGAGATGCTGCACTTTAAATTGACCACTTTCGCTCTATCCTGAGTTTGTATGTTGCTCCTCTGTATCCGTCACTCCTCTGCCCCTGACGTTCCGTTTCATTGGCTGTTATCGTAGTGTTGCTGGTGTTTGGTGGTTATGATCTAACACTGACACACACACACGAGGAGCGAAGCGGCTTCAAAATCGCACATGAAGGCATAAAGTTGGATCACACCTCCCAGAACTCGAGGAAAAGAAATTGTAGCCAAAATTGGGCCAATTGAGCAGTGGTGTGGGATCATTGGACTCACCTCAGACTCAGACTTCCACTGTCTGTAGGCCAGCACCTGCCTGAACGGCGTCCTGATGTCAAAACTGTGCAGCTGGAACCGAGACACTAACTCCTGTAAAGAGATTATGGAAATCATCCCATCATCATGTCTCTACAGAGATGTTATTGCTTTGCCTGCATGCATGTTTCACAGTATGGCATTAAATGTATCCATGAAAGCAAACTGGTGATGCCACGAGGCCAAGTTACAGGTCAAGCATTGTGATTTTCCACACTTTTGTGATCTATAAAATGAGAAGTTAGCACGAAAATGAGCAGTCAGGTGTTCTGTCAAAATGGGCTGCCCCATCGAAATGAGCTCCAGCAGCCTAAATCAACAGTGACATCTATCGACTCACACAAAATAAGTAAATTGACATTTTTCCATTTACAGTTAACACAGTTTACAGTTCCGTTTACATAACTCTAACCCTGACCTCCCCAGTTTGACAACATATTTCTTTGGATTAGAGACGTGGGTTTGATGCTGTTTGCACACACTGATCACACTTTATACCTTAGTTATGTACAGTTTCAACTAATTTATCTGAATTTGCGTAGTTCATTTGGACAGTCACATTCTGCTCAAATAGAGCTCGGACTAAAGGGAGCACATATCGACAGGACAATTTAGCCATTGAATAATGCTTCCACTGTAGAATCACCATTATCCACTCATTTAAATGAATTTAGGTAGAGGAGCTCATTTCGACAGGTCTATATCTTCTATCAAGTAAGGCTCCCACTATATAAGAGAAAGAAATGACTGGAAACACTCAAATCTCAAATTAAATAGTGTTAAATATAGACTATTTAATGCTATTATCATAGGCTACAGTGTGAATTTCTATTCTGTTCTTCTTTTTTTATATTATAGTGATATTTTATTAATACAGCGCCTTTCTAAACAAAGTTACAAAGTTTTCTATACATGGACACAAAATAAAATATGAAGTAATGAAAATGATAACAATAAAATCAAATATTAAATCCAAACTATTCAATCATCTAATGTAGGTATTCTGCAAGTATTCTTCAAATCTAACACGCACATGTCGATGTTTACACGCTTAACTGGTCCAAACATAAAATAAAACCAATACCCTTTTAAAATGTGACATGTTACTCCACTTCTGCCTCGGGAGCTCAAATCGACGGCATTTAAACTGTAACAGAGCTTTGGGCTCATGCACACAGTAGAGCTGTAGGAGCTGAAATCGACAAGGCACCAGTCCAAAAATGAGCAAGTTAGAGGAAGTTTATGGACATTTGGGATTTGTCCATACACTTTTAGTAAGAATTCTATGTAAGGTTTTATAAATGAGACTCAGCTTCTGTGGCGAGGCGACCCTGCTCATCAGAATTCAGGTTTTTCAAGGTATTTTTGAGCTGTAAATAATCTGTAGTTGATATAACACAAGATAGATAACATCACCATGGAGACAAGCATGTTTAGAAAAATTACTGTATTTTTTGGACTATAAGTCGCACTTTCTTCATGGTATTCCTGCAACTTTATACTCCGGTGCGATTTATAGATTAAAATTTTCATACTGACAACCGCGAGAGGGCGCTCTAGGCTCATGTGTCACTATCTAGTACTACTTTTACTCCTGCACAACTGTCACTTCGCCACTCTACTGCGCCTGCCTCCTGTAGAAAAAGCCTCTGTCCTGCTGCAAGTAGTGAAATATTCAGCCAAAAACGGTAATCAAGCAGCAGAAAGAAAGTTTGGAGTGAGCAAGAAACTTATGAGGGACTGGCGGAAAGCGGGGGGATGGAGAACACAGCTTCACAGCAACCGGGCAGGTGCACAGTGTAACTTTCCTGGAAGTCACTGGATGAATCGACAAAGCCTTAACTTCAATCACAATCGATACCATCCTGTTGGGATTCAGAAAGGCCAGAATAATTCTAACTGGAACTGATGCTGAGTCTGATGACAGCTAGGCAGAAGAGGAAGAGGCGCACTGTTTACCTCAAGGATCTATGGTTTATCTACAGAGGTTGCGTAGAAGTGACACCAAGGATTAGTGATTTGGAGTGAGATTGTGAGTTTGGTAAACTTATGTTATGTTGTTTATGCTATAATTATCTGAATAACTGTTAATATGTTACATTAACATATTAATGCTTATTCAGTCTGTTGTTCTCTGTTTTGTTGTTATTACTAGAACTTGACTTTCAAGATGAAATGTTGGTTCCTGGTCTCTAATTTAATAAAATCAATTTCCCCAAAAAGTGTGAGTCCGGTGTGACTTATATATGTTTTGTTTCTTCTTCATTGCGCATTTTTTGGCTGGTGCGACTTATACTCTGGAGCGACTTATAGTCGGGAAAATACGGTACATAATGCACCTGTATTACAGTCTCAAAAGCACAGGGGCCAGTGGTTATGTGAGTACCTGGCAGAAGTGCAGAGCTCTCCAGGGGTTCCCACGGGAGTCTGTCTCTGGAGAAAAGGCCATTAGACCCAAGACTCCAGGAACTACAGCCAGCAAAGCACCATGGGAACTGGAGGCCGCAGGGACTGAGGTCTGTGAGTATATAAAAACAAAAGGTCATTCTTTTTTTTCACAATCGCTTCAGAAAGTGACACCATTATTCAACTCCAAACACAGCTAAAAGAACCTGAAGACAGAAGACTAAAATGGCAAGTTTGTGGAACCAATCCCAAACATATAATGAATAGATTCAGCATTTGTGTGTTAGGATTTTTGTTTTTTCCCCTCATGCTCTGTCTTCTCTTCCCCTCTGGATCTTGTGTGTCTGGAGCTGGGCGGAGAATCTGGCACCACCCTCGTCTTTGGTTCCACCCTCTACAGTACTCACCTGCAGCTTATTCTCCTACTTATCAGCCTTCACCTCTGCAGTATTTAAGACCGGTTCAAGTATCCTCTGTGGTACAAACTGTTGGCTCCATTTCTGTTTCTCACATGTTTGCCTGCTTTCCCAGTACTTAGTTTGCCTTTTCTTGTTTTTCTTCAGACCCATTTTTTGCACTCTCTCTCATTCTCTCACCCCAGCCTCTTACCCAGCTCCCAGCAACCTGCATATCTTTTGTCAACAATAAATCCTGTTAATTTTTTGACTTTTATTGTCTGCCGCATTTGATCCACCAGTCATTACAATACTGTGGATCATAGATTTTGTAATTTGTTACAAAAACAGAGTTATATAGGCCAGCTATTTCCAAAAGTGATGCCATTATTCAATCCTGAAGACTACTGTTATCAGCTGAAAGGACATTAAGCTCCTATATTACATATTATTGAAACTAACACACATGAACATTCACACACACAGTGGCTTCCTCTTTTCTGCATCATTCGAGGAAAAACTAAAACTAAAAACAAGCTTCAAACCATAGATAGATAGAATGCTGCTACCTCCTCAAAAACAGACCTGGAGTTGTGTTTTTTCATTCACACATGTTTCACTAACACGTTATTAGTCCGTCTACATCTCCAAAGCTCAAAATGCTCTGTTCCACCTTGTGATGTCAGGAAGCTGCAGTTTTCAAGTTATCAGCTCCTTTTACCTCAGCAGAGATTGGCCATTTTGGGGCTGAAATCATTCAACTGATTCTACTGAAGGTGTATGGAATTTAAAAACTCAGTGGAGCACTTCCTGTATTACCACATGACATCACAAGGTGGAGAGTTTTCTGTTTCAGAGAAAAAGAACTCAGTCTAAATGTGCAGGGTTTGTGAGTTAAACATGTATGATTGAAACAAAACACAACTCCAGGTCTGTTAGTGACAAGGAAACCGCATTACAACTTACAGCTCTGGAAAAAAATAAGAGACCACTGCATTTTTTTTGTCTAAAATGGTGAAGTGCACAGCAAGAACAGTTCGATACAGGCTCCTAGGTGCAGGGCTCAAGAAAAAAAAAACTTTCATCAAACTTTCAATCAAAGAAGAGCCAGGCTGAGGTTTGCTAAAGACCATAAGTATTCATCTTGGTGGAGAACAGGCCAAGACCCATGAAAGCTGTGTGTTATTTTGACCATTTGTCATTTTCTGCAAATAAATGCTCTAAATAACAATATTTTTATTTGGAATTTGGGAGAATGTTGTCAGTAGTTTATAGAATGAAACAAAAAAATTCATTTTACTCAAACACGTACAAATAAGTAGTAAAATCAGAGAAACTGATAATTGGTCTCTTATTTTTTTCCAGAGCTATAAATCTGAAAACAGTGTAATATGAGCTCGTTAAGCCATAAGATTCATATGGTAAGTTTGTGAAGGCTGCACAAACACATATTGATAAGGGTTAACATTTGTAGATCATAAGTTTGCATGTCTTTAAAAACAGTTATACAGCCCCCTGTTCTCCATCTGAAATTATGAAATCATCAAATTCAACAAAGTGAATGCAATAATTTAAACACTTATCCTGTTCTTGTTTGCTCTACAAAGCCTGTATGTACCTTAAAGTGGAAGGCGGTAGAGTGGTGCTTGAGTCCTGCTGTCTGCATCACTGACAGAAGACACCTGGTTGCCGCAGGTGACAGGACCTGGTCACATGACAGCGGACAGAGGCCCCCATTGGCCAACGAGGCGGCCATAGCTGCCCCAGACTCACACGTGACTTCTGTGGAGGAACACTGGGTACAAACATAAAAACAAGAGTGAAATTTGTATCTTAATTCAGCACAAAGGCCAGAATGAGGCTTTAATGTCCCTGTTATTGAAATGTGCCCTCAGCATTTGACCCATCCTTCAGTGTAATGAAACTTGTCAGGAACAGTGACCTATTTCCAGATATTTAGCTATAGGCTCAAATAAAGTTTGTACTTAAAGGATCCTTGTATCTGAGCAAAATGAGTCTTATTCCAGTAGAGATTTTATAAGCAGCTCTTGAGATCAAAATTTGTCCGCTGTGTACTGCCTGTATTTAATTATAGAGCATTTTATTGTCTGAGCATTGATTTGTTTTTATTTTGAGTTTGTGCTAAGAGAGAATCAATAATCATGTACACTACTGGTCAAAAGTTTTAGAACACCCTCATTTTTCCAGTTATTTATTGCAATTCAAGTCATGCAAGTCCAATGAAGAGTTTGAAATGGTACTAAGGTACGAAGTGAACAGACAGAGGTTAAAAAATGATACAAAACACAAGTCCCAGCTCTGCCAAAACTACCTCAGGAAAAAAAACAAGATGGCAAAGCTTGAAAACATGGAGTGTCCAGCAGCACAGTGTCCAGACTTAAACCCCATGGAGCTGGTTTGGGACGAACTGGACAGAAGAGTGAAGCAACCTACAAGTGCCACACATTTATGTAAACTTCTGCGACAGACTTGGGAAGAACTTTCTGAAGAATATTTGATTTCTATTGTAAAAAGAACGAGCCACGAGTGTGTTCAGCTGTTATATCTGCCAAAGGTGGACACACACATCAATCAAAAGTTTAGAATATGTTTTGGTCTATTAATTCATTCTATGATTTCTTTTTCAACTTAAATTGCTTATTTGTTCTATGCTTTCATTGCAGAGTTCAATAAGTATAAACTGAAAAAAAAAAGTGTGGTGTTTTAAAACTTGATCGGTAGTGTACATACTACATACACATTGTAAACAACAGAAAAGCACATTTCTCAAAAGGAGTGGGAAGATGAAAAAAACTTATATTAACCCACTCCTATTTATGACATAGTTTCAAAAACTCAAAAATATGTGGTTGCTGTACACTGATGACAAAACTTTAGAAATATTTAGATCAGGGAGTGCACATTCTAGTACCAGCAGCAAAACTCTGCAATGACTATTTAGGATGCACTGAATGCATAAGGTAAGTCAGGAATAACTTTGGACCATTGCAAACTGTATAAAATGATTTAAAATGAAATGTTTTTCATGTTTTTAAGACGGTAAAAATCTGGTACTGTACCTTTAAAGGGCCCATCTCATGTAAAATAACTCTTTTCACATTGTATCTTCTGCACATAAACAAGCACAATTTGGGTTTTGGAACATCCATTACACAATAGTTATGAAATCTTACTGATTTCTTGGAGACAGTCACAGACCAGGAACTATGAAAGGCCGACTACTGCTCATCCCCCCGCCCGTCCTGAGAAAGCACAGGCTCCGCCCTCCAAACGTGACGTAGGCGACGAGTGAGCCGCCCTTCCTCCGCCCATCTCAGGGAGGGAGGGGGAGACAGGCGTGCACCCTGATAGTGGTAGGAATAAACTTTTATTCATGTGTTGAACCCGGAATCGGACGAGGACTTTGAGGTGCACGAAGCACAAGCACCACGTCGGCATCAGCTGAACATTACTGATTGGTAAAGTATTAATAAACACTAGTAGATAAAGTTATTATAGTTTATAGTTTATAGCAGTGTAGAACAGTTAGCTTATGCTGTCGCTTTTGTTTAGGTGTTCATGTGAGAGGGGGGCGGGTGCGAAGCGCTTTCTGCTACATCAAGCATGTCATAGGTGTAGCTGGCTGCGTCATCGTTGTGACAGGCTTTGCCACATGGGAGGGCGACAGAAATACACTGCAATTTGTCAAAAAAAGGCTGAATCAATCTAAAAACCATTTCGGTGACATATACAAGGCCCACACATCACTCTTAGCAGGAAAAAGCTCTTAGAACACTCTGAAAAGTTGATTTTGCATGAGATGGGCCCTTTAAAAAGTATAAAGCATGCATGAAAAAGTAAAGTACTAGTTACTTTTAGAGACATTCTAGGGTTTTTTTGTTTAGTTTTTTAGTACAAAGCCTGATTAATTAACAGTAAAATTGAACTATAATCCATATATTCTCTAAGCTCTGGCCAGTCAGAGCAGGTGATGTGTTGTTTATGTCGTAGTTGACCCTTTTTTCAGTGCTCCCCCTGCTGGTATGTTAGGGTACAAAAAGCACCTTTACCTGTAGCATCAGATCCAGAGCAGCGTTAATGTCCACTTTTTCTGGAAAACACTAAAGATGAAACAATTAAGATAAAAACAAAGGTAAATACATATAAATGTCCGTAAAAAATCTGCACCTTTTTGTCTTGTAGATAGAAGGACAGAGCTGAGAGCCGCACGCTGGAGTCTCTGCTGCTGTTATAACTGAAACAACATCAGCACACTTACAATGTTAATGCAAACGACCACACAGATTAACGCAAAGTAGAAGTCAATTTACAAATGTGGTATTGTGCAACATTTTTTTATTTATTTATTTTTTTGAGCTTTCTACCATGTTATAATGTCGTTCCCTCATCAAAAACATGCGTGAAGAGGTTTAGATGTCATTCATGTATCTTTGAGTAATCTAGCAATCTCAAGCCCTCCTTTCGGTTTGCTCCCATACAACAATCCTCCATAAATATACAAAAACATGATACAAAATTGTACACAGCAACTTGAAAAACCTGATGTGATGTGCAGTAGTTTCATTATATTGGTTTGATTTAAATGGATTGATTCTTAATGTTAAAAAAACTAATTTTATTTTATTTAATGATAAAAAGAAAAAAGACAACATAACATTAGAAAATCAAAGAGTAAACGAAACCAAATGTTTAGGAGTCATGATTGATGAAGGTCTAAACTGGAGTTTGTCTCATATAAATGACACTAAAGGCAAAATTTTACATACAGTTTAAAAGGAACCTACATGATTAAAAACCCAGATTCAGAACCAAGGTTATGGAGAGAAGCATTAGTGTGAAAGGAGTTCATTTATGGAATAGTCTCGACAAAGATAGAAAAGAATCAAGTACAATGATGGCATTAAAAAAACACATCCATGGCCATACTGGCTTGTCAAAGCCTGATCCCGTCAGATCTCAGAAGCTAAACAGGGCTGGTCCTGGTTAGTGCTTGGATAGGAGACCACTGGTAATTCCAGGTTGTGTCGTTAGGCAAGACACTTCACCCACACTGCCTCGTATGAAAGTGGTGTGTGTGTGAGTGATGGTGGTGGTCGGAGGGGCTGATGGTGCAGATTGAGAGCCTCACTTCTGTCAGTCTGTCCCAGGGCAGCTGTGGCTACAGTAGCAGCTTACCACCACTGAGTGAATTGTAAAGTGCTTCGGGTATCTTGAAAGGCGCTATATAAATGCAATGATTAATTAATTAACATCAAATCCAATGTGACGTGCATGTATGAAAAAGGAAAGTTGTTGTGCATAATTTCTGTTTTCAGTTGATTAAAAATTGTGCCTGAACTGAAATGTACTGATTTTGAAATGTTTTAAACTAACTCTCAATGTTGATGTTTCGTCTGGAAAAGAAAAAGGGTCCAGAGAACATCAGATGACTCTTTTTTCTGCTCCTTTTCATTTATTTCTTGTATGTTTGATGTATGAAACTGTCAATGTGTTTTTATACTGTATGAATGAAATAAACAATAAATAATAATCCACAAATAAACAAATAAGTAAAATAAATAAATTAGCGGGATGCACAATGAGTGTGTTGTTATAGTGCTCTAAAGGGGAGTGACTTAATGCAGAGAGCCAAGAGAGGGAGACTTGGAGTGTCAAAAGCAAAAGTGAAACTTATACAAGATTTGTTGTTTTGGTGAATATAACAATACAACAACATAACACCGAATGTAGACAGACTAATAAAGGATTATTGAAACATGTGAATGAAACAAAACACAACTCTAGATCTGTTTTTGAGGAGGGAACAACATTAGAACATTAAAGCTCACAAGAGTCCATTTTGTGCAATATAGGATTTTTAAGTACAAAATGTGGCTACTCTCCCCATCGTATGAATTCCAAATGAAGCATACCTGGTGCAGTTGAGATTGGCGTGTTCTTTGTTGCACAGTCTTCTGATCACGTTTAGCACCTGTAACAGAAAACACCGCCTCAAGATCACATATGAAGATTTCTCCACCTCTGCACAATTAGCAATATTAAAACTATCCTCTCCCGTCCTGATCTTGAAAAAGTCATTCACACACTCATCTTCTCTTGTCTAGACTATTGCACCTCCCTCCTCTCCAACCTCGACTCCAAATCCATCTCCCTCCTCCAACTGGATCACTCTGTTATCACTTTTAAAGCTCGTTTAGGTCTTGCACCAAGTTACATTTCAGAACTTTTAACCCCGTACGAGCCTCCCGCAGCCGTAGATCCTCAGGCAGGTCCCTGTGGATGTTCCAAGGTCCAGGCTCCGGACAAAGGTGATGGAGTTTTTTCAGTCCGGGCGCCTCAGCTTTGGAACGACCTGCCTGAGGAGATAAGGCTCACACCATCAGAATTATCTTTAAATCACTTCTTAAAACTCATTTTTATCGGATGGCCTTCCTTTGTCTGGTTCTAGCTTGATTCTTTTTATTCTATTTTTTAATATTTATTTATTATAATTAATTGGATTATTTGCATCATTGTCAGTTTTTGTGCTTTCTGTCTGCTATTTTGGTGCTTTTTGTATTGTTCTTTGCTGCTTGTACAGTACTTTGTAAACCTTGTTTTTAAAAGTGCTTTAGAAATAAAGATTTTTTATTATTATTATCATTATTATTATTTTAGAATATCGGATATCAGGTTTCTCACTGAATCGTACTTCTCCTCTTCCTCCGCACACAGCCGTCCAGCCAGCTACAGACACAAAAAAGACAAGATTTCAACATGAATTACTCAATTACTTAAAGGTGCACTGAGTAACTTGTAGTAATTTGTAGTATATCAATAATTATTTTTTTTATTTAAAAGCAACACTGCTTAGCTTTGGTATTTTCTGTAGTTTAACCCTTAACACCGACTGTCACAAATATATGACAAACCGTTTGGATCAGAATATAAGCCGAGACAGCGGCTGCATTCCCCCAGTGCCAGTTAGCGCATTAGAGTTTTTTTTTTTTTTTACTAGAGTCAAATTAATAATCTCGACTTAATTTACCATCTACTTAAAGACAAAAACACACACAAAACATTGTTTATATACATCTATATAAATGTAGGCGTTAAGGGGTTAAAGGGTCTATATTATGCTATTTTCTGATCTGTGTTACAATGTCGTTTCTTCATCACAAACAGACCTGGAGTTGTGTTTTGTTTCATTCACACATGTTTAACACACAAATTGTCTCAAAAAGAAAACATTCAGTTCCATCTTGTGATGTCATGTGGTGATACAGGAAGTGTGTTTTTAAAGTCTGTACATGCACCTTCACTAGAATCACCAGGTGGAACAGAGCATTTTGAGTCACAAACAGCAGAGACAGGGAGCTGCTGGTATCCAAGTGACTGAGGGTGCTCGTGAAAAGGGTGCAGTTCACTGGAGGGTGGAGGCTTACTTCTTCAGTTCTTTTCATTAGGCACAAGGGGTAGTAACTTCTTAATTTCAGGACCATTTCATAGAGGGCACTAGAGGGCAATTGTGTGTGTGTGTTTTTATTTTATTTTATCAGGGAACATTTTTACAGCAAGCACCCACAAGATGAGGACAAGATCCAGCGCCTAAAGCAAAGAAAGGCCTATCGGATTTTTATTCTCAAGGCCACAGAGTACCCAGGACTTCGATCTCTCCTGCTACCTATAATTACTTAATTTGTAATGAAATATTAAACAAAACTATCTAAGTAAAAACAGTCCAGTTTGTCTACCCTCTAGTGCTTGCTGTAAAAATGGTCCCTGATAAAAATAAAAAATAAATACATAAATAAAATAAAAATGCCCTCTATTGCCCTCTATGAAATGGTCCTGAAATGAAGAAATTACTACCCCTGGTGCCCAGTGTGAAAAACTGAAGGAGTAAGCCTCCGCCCTGCACACCTGCACATCACACATTCATGATTTTAATGCTTCCTGCCTGCTCACAATAAAAGCTTTTAAATATTTTCTAACTAAGTGAGAGTCTGATATTTTTCTTTTTCTCAGAGCATTTTGAGTTTTCGAGATATAGACACAAATAATACAGAGTTACTCAAACATGTGTGAATGAAACAAAACACAACTCCAGGTCTATTTTTGATGAGATAACAACATTATAACATGTCTTAAACCTCACAAGAGTCAATTTTGCTTAATAAAGGACCTTTAACTGGAATGATATGTGTCTTAGAAGTAGATCCAGACTAGTTACTGTGAAATTAGTCTAAATAACTAAACCACAACATCTATTCTAAAAACAATGGTATTTCGCTCCAAAGTTGTAAAGCGGAGCAATTTGAGAATGGAAATTATCAAGTTAAATTCATTAAGTCAAGCTTGCATAATACAGGTTTATGATTTTTTATAGTAAGAAAGTTACCTGTAAAAGTGAAGTTGTGACAATGGCTCCAGTCTCAGTCAGAGGAGTGTGAGGAACCCCTGAGTAAAAAAACAACAGACAAGCACATTTTAGTCAAACATCGCTACAAGAATCTCCCTCTAGACTCTCCCTCCTCTGTACCGGTGCTTGTCAGACCTGAGTTGTTGAGGGTGAAGGGAGAATTGTATCGTGAAAACTCTTCAAATCCGACGTATCTGTGAACCAGGTCTGCTCCGAGTAAATCCACCGCCACTCCGTAAACCAGCGGCCACATCAACTCCCCCAACACGACTGGGCTGGACCAGTCCCCGAGAGATAACCTACAGGAGCGAGACGAGAGAGAGACAGAGAAAGAGGAGAGAAATGGACAAAGATGAAGCGAGTTAGATGTAGATAAAAGAGACATGTAAGAGCAATAAAATAATAGTAGTAGTAGTTTATTCAGTCATTTTGCAGCACTACAAAACAAACAAAATAAAATAAAACATAGACTACAACCCCATGGATCATGACTGAAAGAGTTTAGGCTGAAGTAAAAAGTACTTATAAAGCCAAACTCTATTAAACAACGACAGAATTCTAATAAAGAAAAGGAAAGTTTGGATTTACAATTTCACTTAAGACTTACTGTATATATAAGAAACAAAATATAAATTAAAACAAACTAAATTTTATGTATAATTCATTCATTCCAGAGCTCTAAAGCTTTCAAAACATGACACTTCATACTTTTTTTTTTTTAAAGGCTTCTGCAGTGTTAGACTTTTTTAAAATCATCACTCAGTTCCATACACTAACCCCTCTTAATACAATCACTTTTTTTCCAATTGAATTTTTTTGTTGTTGTTTTTAAGTTGACTTACCTCTGTCCGTCCACAGTGCAGATAGAAACACCCCATTTAACACTGTCTGCTCCATCATTTTCCTTTTCCTATGAATAAAATAATACATGCTTTATTTCACCAACAAAAAAATTATAAAATCTTAAGAGTGATTCAGACCTGTCACTCTTGGAAACACTAATTCAACCTATGATGTTTACATTTTTGTAGTCAGGCTGGCGCCACCTAGTGCCTCCGCTCAATTTCATTTCTCTCCAGCAACTAGGTCAGGAATCAGAATACACTAGACGGTTCACAAAATCCCCGGAAGTTGTAGACCGCGCGCCGACCAATCAGCAAAGAGCTGATGTCAAACTTGTCATGCCTGTCTGGGTCCCTTTTGTGGAACAGCACAACAGTAAACAGAGCGGTCGAGATGGATGTAAACGAAGACAGACATTCTGTGTTGGCAACGATTCCTAAGGTCAAGGATTTAAAGCCGGAACAAAAAGAATGTTTGGTGAATTTTATCAAGAGGAAAGACGTTATTGTCCTTCTTCCTATGAGATTTTGGCATTACATACGTCACGACCAAACAGCAGCGACTGGTTAAATTTTAAAAAGTACCTGCCTACTGTCAAGCGAACAAATTCTAATGCTGCGAGATCAGACAGTTTCCAGGAAGTGAAACCGGCTGATGAATCAGGCATTTCAACATTTTTGCCCAGGGAAAACATGGGCACTCCTGCTTTAGCTCATTTTTGTTTAGTGTTTCCTGTGTGATCAAATCCTTTAATGTAAAACTCTTTAAGATGACCTCTGGTTTGGTATGGGACTATGCAATTAAAAACTGAATTGAGATCTACAGTTTATATTCAGAGGTGTGCTGACCTGAGCGGAGGAGGAGGAGAGCTGTTTGCAGCTGGAGAACAGTTTCTGAGTCTCTTCAGTGAAAGTGGAAAAATCTGGAATCACAAAGCGTCCCTGCAGAGCTTTGAGGATCAGGGACACCGAGCCCGTCACACACCTGGAACACAACACACGTACAAGTATAGAACACAACGCACGTACAAGTATAGAACACAACTTAAGTAAATGGTAAATGTTAAACGATCACATTTTTATACAGCGCTTTTCCACCTTCAAGACGTTCAAAGCGTTTTACACCCATTCACACACATATTCACACACCAGTGTACACAGACTCTGGGGGCAAGGTAGATTAAGTGTCTTGCCCAAGATTTGAGCATTCAATCAATGATGTTTCAGAGCGGGAGTACAAGTATAGAACACAACACAAGTACAAGTATGGAACACAACACAAGTACAAGTATTATTGGGGTGTCTTAGTATGACTTTAGTAAACTAAAAAGCCGCACCACTTGCAGCATTACAGCTCCCGTAGTCAGGAGCATCGCGGAGTAATACATACTGTGATTCCTTTTAATATCAAAATGCACCTGTCAAGAGACACGCTTACAACGCCCACTTTAAACTCAAGGCTGTTATAAAGTGAAAGTGCGAGCTGCGTGGGACCAGTGGATGAAAGAAGGAGAACACACATTCACCAAGACAGAGAGACAGCGCCGAGCCACTTACGCCACGATCTGCCAACGGATCGTGGACGCCTGGGCTAAGGATCAGTATCAACTGTGGGCCGAGCTTTCACCAAGACCAGAATCATCACTGAACTGCCAGGGAACAGTAACCACACTAACTCGGATAATGACGAGAGGGATGTGGGCGTGCTGGACGCCGTAATCGCCCAACTGTTTGAACTATTATGACTTATTGTGAATATGCAAACAATTTAACATCTCAGACAGTATTTTTTTACGTGTTACAATTGAACAAAGTTGAGAGTTATTGTGAACGCGTTAAATAAAGTTTGACTGACTTATCTAACTGTCGTGTTTCGTTTAATGTGCCTTATAGTCCGGTGCGGTTTATATGTGAAAAAAGTTTGAAAATAGACCATTCAATGACAGTGCACCTTATAATCCAGAGCACCCTATAGTGCGCAAAATTAAAAAATAAAAGTATAGAGCACAACACAAGTACAAGTATAGAACACAACACCAGTATAAGAACATCTGTCCAAAGGTTTTTTAGTGATCATATTTGAGTAACCATACAGCCGTAAAAGCCCTGTAATGCATACAGTGTACATCTATCTATCTATCTACAGTATCTATCATAGGTCAGAAAATAGTGTAATATGGGCCCTTTAAGGATGATAATAACAATTTAAGTACAAGTACAGACCTGTGAAAGGAGTTTTTGTCTATGGTGCCATCTGAGTCTTGCAGTTTCCTCATGTGAAAGAAACTCTCCCTGAGCCGAGGGTCCGAGCGCTGCAGCCCAGAGCTCCAGATCGACTGGGACAAAATCACAAGAAAAGAAAGACTTTAAAATCATGAAGCAGAGAGTTCTAGGCACGTGGAATCTAACCTGCATCATTCTAACCCTATATCCGCCAACTCAAAAACAATGAAGAACATTTATTTATTTAAACATGAACATGTGAATACCTCAAAGAAATGGTTCACATTGATGCGTCCGTTAGTGGAGAAACTGTCAAACAACACATCAGCTGCTCTGAAAAACAGAACATGAAAATCAGCTCTACATTTAGTCAGGTTTTATGTTCAGTGATACAGATTGAAACATGAGTCTCTCTCACGCTTTCCTCTTTGACGGACTCTGGACTGGACTCAACCAGGACTGAGGCGGGACTCGGTCTTCAGGTGAGACCAGGGCCTGGGGTAGAGGGGGCTTCAGGTAACCATTAGAGCTGCACACAGGGGGCGCTAGAGAGACAGAAAGAGAGACATGTGATGTTGCCATTTTGAAGCCTTTGCACCTTCAGCCACTTCTTGAGAAGATCCATGAACTGGACGAACAGTTCGAGGTCCTTAGGAGAAAGAGGGAGATGTTACATCTGGTAATACAAACGGCTGCAGCTGAGGAGACACTTGTTACATTGAAAAGTTCAATAAGGTGGTTTTACAGTGGGTCAAGTCCAGCAAGTCCTCATTGGACTCAGTTTGAGTAGACATAATTTCCGCTTGATTGAGAGGTCAGGACTAGAGTCTGCAAATGTAGAATCAGCTGGTTCCCATTCAGCTGTGGTGCTACCAGAGTCACAGTCACACACACCGGCCCCTGTGTGGATCAATATTCTGTTTAGGACATAATCATTGAAAATTGCTCATTGGTGGTTCTGGCCAAGTGTCAACATCCATAAAGTCCACAGCATGAGAAGGTAAAGGAGGTGTCTGCTCCTGAGACGTTAGATCCACTTTCTTCACATGAGGAGCTTTACGTGAGCTTCAGTGAGTCTGTAACCGCACAGTGGGCTCTGAGCTTAATAATGTCTTGCATGTTGCTTCTGCCAAGACACATTTGAACTGGTTTGATGTCAGTGGAAAGAAATGTTCATTCTGTTTTTTTCAGAATGGAAAGCCTTTGACAAAGCTCTGCATCTGTTCTTTTTCAGCCCAGGAACTGTAGGAGCATAAAAGATGGACCTATAGATTTTACATATGTGCTCCCTTGATTGATTGCTAGCTTTATGAATGATACTGAACTGTTGGATTATTTTGAGGATGGTTATTTGGATGTTATTGTGAAGAAACTAATGTATGTTAAATTTAACATGGCTCTTATGGTTTGTAAAGCACTGTAATTGTGTTCAAGTTTTTTAATTTGACCTCCTGGTTGAACACAGGCAGCAGATGATAGATGACAAAGTGACAACAGTGCTAACAGGGGCCAAACTTCTAAACTGAACAGTTATGATATATGAATATATATCATGACTGTTCATATATATATGAACAGTTATAATTTTTTAAAAAGTGTTTTAAAGAGAGGGTATTTTACTTCCTCTTCTAACCGCTAACACAAAACATCATCATGTTACCTTTATATTGTTTTAAAAATTCTATATTTGACTAAAAAACAATGTAGTAACATGTTTTATCAATTTCACTTCAGTTTTGAAGTGCTGAGTCTTCCCTCCCTTTGCTCCCTACACTAAGTCACTCCCCCTTCAGAGCACTATCACAACACAACCAGCGTACATCCTGCTAATGAAACTACTGCACACTGTGTCAGGTTTGTCAAGCTGCTGTGGCAGAATGTTACAGTCACCGTAACCCGGGCCGTGCAGTTTGGTGGGACAGGTGGAGGTGCTGTAGTGCTCCAGAGCAGTTCAGTTGGATTGTATTTTTGCCAGACACCGGAGCGGCCGCAGCCTTTTCCGTTCATAAATGAAGTTCTGGTGTGAGCATGTGGTCTGTGTGCAGCCTTCAAAGGCGCTGGCACAACAGCAAAGCAGCAATAAGAACAGCAACAAGACCGTTCCACACTGAGCTGCAAAAAAACCCCATCTTCAGGCATGTTTTTGATGAGGGAACAGTATAACATGGAAGAAAGCTCCAAAAAAGTAGAATAATACCCCCTCTTTAAATGAATGCTTAGAGTGTTACCATAGTTACCTGCAGACCCTGGGAAGACTAGACTGACAGGCCTTTGTAAAGGGGTCAAAGGCTGGAGGAGTCTGGGGGCAGGACGAGGCGCTCCTGTTGCATCCTGGGAAACCTCCTAAACATCAACAGAGATCAAAGTTTAGACACTGAAGCGCAATATGTCTGCGCCTCATTCACAACATGGCCATAAACGTGCTCAGGCTTTTCATCGTGTTTGGGGAAATTACAGACGACTACAGCACTTTTCATGAGGTAGTTTCCACCTCAGAGCTTTGAACCACCATCCCAGGCCCACTTAAGCGAGTGTGGACACGTCTCACCTGGGTCACGGAAGATCTAGTCTGACACTCGTCCTTCACTGCTCCCTCCTCTAAAACAAAAAGACGTGTTGAAGAACGATTAGAGCAATAAACTTAAACAAAACCAGGTGTGTCAAGTGACATGAGTCTAGTCCAAGATCACAAGAGCAATCTCCTCACAGGTACCGTAACCCTAACCCAGAAACAAAAGAGACAAACCAGGGCTAAATCAGGTCTAAATCAGGTCTAAACCAGGGCTAAACCAGGTCTAAACCAGGACCAAACCAGGTCTAAACCGGGATTAAATCAGTAATAGCTTTGGTTGTGTAACGTCATGTAATGTCATCATAACTATATTCAAACTATTGTACACTTATTTATCCATCGTGAGGAAATTTCATACTGCATTTGACCCATCGTTCAGCAGTGCTGCTGGGACATCTGTCAGGAGCAGTGAGCTCTTGCCGAACATGCTCTGTCAGTGACCCATGTCAGGGACTCATCTCAGGGACCCATGTCAGGGACCCATGTCCACATCTGGAGGATTTGACCAATTCCTTGTTTTGGGTCTTGGTTTATGGTTAACATCTCTATTCACATGAAACTAAACTGGCAAAAGGTTTGTCTGTTCTGAGAACTGAGGTTAAATTAGTATCAAAAACGTGTAATATTCATCAATTATCCATGTGTGTCCATCCATGTGTCAATTTGAAATTTGTGGACCACAGTCCTAATAAATATAATAATTTGTAAAGCATTTTGAGAAACATTAATAAGGAACAAACCGGGACTATACTGGGATTAAACCAGGTCTAACCAAGTCTAAACCAGGTCTAAACCAGGTCTAAACCAGGACTAAGCAAGGTCTAAACCAGAACTATACCAGGTCTAAACCAGGACTGAACCAGGTCTAAACCAGGACTAAGCAAGGTCTAAACCAGGACTAAACCAGGTCTAAACCAGGACTGAACCAGGTCTAAACCAGGACTAAACCAGGTCTAAACCAGGACTAAACGAGGTCTAAACTAGGACTAAACCAGAACTAAACCAGGACTAATGAAAACTCAAGAGCTAGGATAAAACAGGCAATACACCTACATATTTTTGAGAACTGAGGATTTGAAATGTGTTATTTGTCTCACATGTGAACACACTGATCAGAATTCTTTGGTCTTTTTAAATTTAGAAACTTATTTAGTGGGCAGGGTCAGATGGGTTCTCAGCCAATCAGAAATGAAGAAACAAACTTATTTTAGAAATACCGCCCTCTTCAGGATGTTTCTGTAACCACTAATGAATGGGTGGTTCAGACTGTGCACTGCGCCCCTCTTCCTGTGAGGACAGACGTTGGAGCATTTGGACATTTGAAAGCACATGTATTGTCCTGTTCTGTATTTCAACACAAACATGTTCTGTGGCGTCAGGTACATTTGCTATAGAAATTATAAAGCAAAGGCTCAAAGATAAAACAGAACAGTGAGACTCTGGGTGGATTGTGTGTTGCAAAAACTATTCATTCAGTTCAGTCAACACTGTCTAAGTACGGACTATGACTAAATAAACATTATATTGACTTAAGTTTAGACCTGTGGAGTCCTGGTCTTTGCTCGGTTCCAGAAGTTTGTTTCCATCCAAACCTCCGTAACGTTTCCTCCACTTTCTCCTGAGAGACGGAGTCCTCTGGAAACTGCACCACAAACACAAAGGTCAATTTAATGATTCAGTAGAATGTCCCTACTGGGGCACTATACATGTCAAAAAGAGCCTTCTGCTTAAAGCACTGTGTAACCTTTCTGGTACACCTCCTGCTGTCCCATAGAAATGGTAGCGTCCACAGTATGACATTCATTTTGTTAGTAAGTTGTAAGAAAGTTTTGTAGTAGCAGTATATACTGTCTGTCTATAGCAGTAGTCATAGTAGCATTAGCATTGTCTAAAGATAATTAATAGAATTGTGTAGTAGTAGTAGTAATGGTAATAGTAGTAATGGTAGCAGTAGTAATAATAATGGTAATAGTAGCAATTGTAGTAATAGTAAAGGTAGTAGTAGTAATAGTAATAGTAATAATAGTAGTAGTAATAATAACGGTAATAGTAGCAATTGTAGTATTAGTACTGGTGGTAGTAGTAGCAGTTGTAGTAATGGTAATAGTAGTAGCAATTGTAGTATAATAGTACTGGTAGTAGTAGTAGTAGTAGTAGTAGTAGTAGTAGTAATGGAAGTAGTATCAATAATAATGGTAATAGTAGCAATTGTAGTAATAGTACTGGTAGTTGTAGTAGCAGTTGTAGTAATGGTAGTAGTAGTAGTAGCAATTGTAGTAATAGTACTGGTAGTAGCAGTAGTAGCAGTTGTAGTAAAGGTAATAGTAGTAGCAACTGTAGTAATAGTAATGGTAGTAGTAGAAACAATAATGTAATAGTAGAAATTTTAGTAATAGTACTGGTAGTAGTAGTAGTAGTAGTAGCAGTAGTAGTAGCAAATGTAGTCATGGTAAGAGTAGTAGCAACTGTAGTAATAATAACAGTATTAGTAGTGCCAATTGTAGCAATAGTAGTAATGGTAATACTAGTAGCAAATGTAGTAATACTAAATGGTAATAGTAGTAGCAACTGTAGTAATAGTAATGGTATTAGTAGTATCAATTGTAGTAATTACACTGAAAAACACTGTGTAACCTTTCTGGTACACCTCCTGCTGTCGCCATACAAATGATCGTGCTTTGCCAGGAATTTTCCACAGTATGGCATTCGGTATTTTTGCAGTTCACACACACATACACACACACACACATACACGTAGTCATGTTTTTTCATAGCGTTTTGTTAGTAAGGTAATGTCATAACATCTGCATGGAGACCAGGTGGAGACACATGCAGGTGCCAGAGTTACCAGAACATTCCATAATGGACCATTTAAGACATGTTTTATGAATTGTATTCTTTTTATGGTTCTAGATCATTATTGGTACAAAATAGGTCATGAATTTGTTCGTGTATTGGTTTTAGCAAGTTAGAACTGGTAGCCTGCTCAACACTACACAACACTACACAACACTACACAACACTACACAACACTACACAACAGTATTCTCATGTGCTCTTATAAGCATCTGTCAGGTCTGTCAAATATCAAGATTATTCTCAACTATCCAACAAGGTCCAATGTATGTCACCACACTCCTGTATGTATGTGATTCTTTCTGTATCTTTCAGTATCAATACTAGTTCTAATGAGTCTCTAGTTTCAATATTGATTTGACCTGATCGGCTCCCAGGCCCCATTCGAACAGGTTAAACAGAGCTTTCTGCTGAGTGTCCCTTTTCTTTTGTTCCTGGTGCCACGTCTTCTCCTGTCCTTCAAACACAAGAGGAGGAATGCAAACCTGGACCGCTGCCAAAACTAACCCACGACTCTGCCCCAAACCACCAATAAAGAGGCTACTGCTAAATACTTATACTCATGGAATTAACTCAAGTACTGTGTTTTTAGGAATATACTTTCACACCTACTTTTACTGTCCATTTTGCAATAAATAAATCAGTACATGTTGACATTTTTGAGCAGAGTAGATTTTAATGAGAGTACTACTACTAGTATCACTGATATCAGCAGTTGAAAGTTTTGTAGTAGTAGTAGTAATAGTAGTAGTAACAGTAGTAGTGGTGGTAGTACTAGTAGTAGTAGTAGTAGTACTTGTTATGGTAGTAGTAGTAGTAGTAGTAGTTATGGTAGTAGTAGTAATTGTATTAATAGTAATGGTAATAGTAGTAGCAATTTTAGTAATAGTACTGGTGGTAGAAGTAGTAGTAATAGTAGTAGTAGTAGTAGTAGTAGTAGTAGTAGTAGTAGTAGTATTAGCAGTTGTAGTAATGGTAATAGTAGTAGCAATTGTAGTAAAAGTACTGGTAATAGTATTTGCAATTGTAGTAATAGTACTGGTAGTAGTAGTAGCAGTTTAGTAATAATAATGGTAATAGGTAACAGTAGTAGCAATTGTAGTAATGGTACTGGTTGTAGTAGTAGCAGTTGTAGTAATGGTAATAGTAGTAGCAACTGCAGTAATAGTAATGGTAATTGTAGTAGCAGTAGCTGTAGTAATGGTAATAGTAGCAGTCATAACAGTAATAACGGTAATAGTGGTGATTGTAGTAGTAGTAGAAGTAGTAGAACTATCAGTGGTGGTAGTAGTAGTAGTACTCTAGCACTGTTAATACACTGATAATCTTGCACATTTACAACCATTATGAATGATGCACTGGCCTGATTAAAGACACAGCTCACACATGCACTCACGCCCAGAGGTACAGGTGAAATGGTCAGATGTTGTCCTTACCAGAGGTACGACGGGTCCTCTGGCTCCTGACCCTGGCTCTTCTCCATCGCAGACAGTGATGTGTGAAAGTATCTGCACAGACGACACTCTTCTGTGGTGTGTGTCTGTGGGCTCTAGGCTGTTTTTAATGAATGAGAGTAAAAGGAGGAGGAAGTCTGCGGACACTCCCAGCTCTGCTCTGTGTTTCAACATCTGTTCTACGAGAATAAAAGAGGGAAAACAGAGAGAGAGAAGACAGAGAGGGAGAGAGAGAGAGAGAAAGAAAGAGAAAGACAGTGAGGGAGAGAGAGGGAGACTTGCCTCAGGGCCTATAGTCTGCTGATAGGACAAAACACAAGCAATTAAGAGTTTACTCAAAGAAAAGGCAAACTTTAAAGTCCCCTCGAGCACCAGAAAAACATATATTTAGGAAAGTTTACGGCACCAATAAAATCCAGAGAAAGTGCATTCAAGAAACGTAACTCTACTCTACTCCAGTAAAGTCTTTAATAAAATATTTATTCTTTCACTCACTTAGTGCATTATGTAGCCCTTTAATTATCTATATTCTAATTGTAGGAGCAAAGTGAGTATCCGTGGGTTTTAAGGTGATGTAAAATTAGCACCTTTGCCATAGAAATGAACAATTCTGAATTAAATAGGTCTAATTTATCTTTTGATAGTCCACAAATTTCAACAGGAAAGTGAAACTCATGTATATCTACAGTAGCAGGTCACAGTAGTGGTATTTGTACTTTTATTTCATTTTAATTAATAGCTCTCAAATAAAAATGTAACTGAATTAATATATTTTGGTGTTAACAAACTAGTTTCATGTAGTATTTTTATGTCTTCAAATTATAAATTACTGGTCCAAACCATAGATTTATAATAACTTTATAATAATTTGTAATAAAACAAAATTAAGAAAAAATAAAAATAAAATAAATAAAAAAAGAGAGAGAGAAACAAACCGGAAGTCGCCGTGTTTACATGTTAGCATCTCCACTCCACGTGAGAGCTAACATGCTAACAAGCTGCTCACCGGTGCATTTTAGATGTTTTCACGGACATGTTTAGTTTTAAGAGGCTTATTAAAAACACATTTTATACCCGGACAGTGTCAGACTTTACCTCATCGTTGTGCCTTGGCTTCGGTGTGTCCGTTTATCAGAGCCCGATCTCATCTTGTCTTCTCTGAACGAAACTTCTCCAAAATCCGCCAAAAAATGCCTAAAAAAGACAAGGTGCACTTATACTTCTTATACATGCCTGTCGATATTTGTGACACTATGAACGAGTGGAATTGTAAAACTGATGACTTTAAGCCGTAAAAATGCATAATTTTGTTTTACAATATCTACTTTGTTGATCTTGCGGCTGTAATATTCTAATATTAAATTCACAATACTTCCTCTAGCCTTCGTCTCCGATCTCACACATAATTCATTTCAGAGGGTAAAGGGAAGCTATTTTGGGCATCCTGGCTGTTATCCTGTTATCCTGTTTTTACATCAAATCACATTTTAGATTTAGATTCTGCTGTGGCATCAGAATGTTGAAAATTCTGGCATGGCGGGAAATGTAGGCACAGTGAACAGACAAAATATATTTTCATATATTAACAGATCTAAATGCTTATTTACAGAACATTACAACAATTTTGAATTTCCAGGTTACAAATATTAGTTAATTTGTTTCTCTCTTAAAGATGTAAAAAAAAAAAATAAAAAATAGCCTCGAAATTGTATTTGAGCTACACAGAAAATATTATTAACGGTGAAATATGTAGTGTGTAAATGATGTGGTAAAATGTAGGGGGCTCAACTTTTCTGTGAGGATTTCTCCAGTTAAACCTAAAAATCTGGATATGTCTTTTGTCAGAAATGCTAAATGCCTATCGTAATCTCCTTTTAAATAAACTGGGCTCTGACATCACTCACATGTATCCCAGTGGTAATCTTTTGCCAGATTTCCCTTGATTTCTCATATTTTGTAATATTCTTAGGTTAATGCCAGTTTCTCTATTGAAATCACATTATGTTCCACTTAACTTTTGCCTCCATTCTGGAATTTATTCTGCATATAGTTATTTGAAAGTTGACCAATATGTGCAATGCTCACCCCTTTTAATGAGTCCCATTTAGTTTCTGAACATTTCTTGTAGTCCTGCTATTCATCCTAATTTTAAATCTCCGTTTACAATCTGATTTCAGGGGAAGGGGCAGCCGTGTGCAGGGGCCAAAGCAGCAGAACCATCAGGACCTGTGTTGCGGGACAAAAGTGGTGCTGTGACCGTAACAATTCACGCCAAGCCTGGGGCCAAACTCAGCGCCATCACTGGTACTATCCTATACAGCTATTAGTTTATTTACAACTGTATGTTGCACAAAGGAGGGTTACATTGTTTATATGTGTGTATGTGTGTATGTTTATATGTTTACGTAAAACAATGTTCACTGTTAACTGTAAAAAAAACAAAAGAACATTGTTAACCCTTTAGTTTTTGTTCTGAATGTGTTTTTTTGTATTAGTTTAGCCAATCATGAATTAATCTTCTCTCAAATATTAATGTTACTGGATTTATTTACAATGTGCTGTCAGAGCAACACGAAATATTTTTCTAAAATCATGCAGCAAAGTTTTTTTGAGTGTAGAAATGCCGTTATTGACAGCAAATGTGCAAAATAGTGTTAAAGCTGCTGCTTTGTACATGCTTTGTTGGTAAGGAAGACTATTGAAGCTGGTATCTGATGATTAAAAGAGTGATTAATAATTTGTTCTCTTTTTTTACCTTCTCTGTAGAAGTATCTGCTGAGGCTGTAGGTGTTGCCATTGCAGCGCCGCCTACAGATGGAGAGGCCAACGCTGAGCTCATCCGGTTCCTGTCTCAAGTCCTGGACCTCAAGAAGAGTCAGGTTTCATTGGACAAGGTATGAAAAACTGAAGGCTTCTAGATAGAGAATATTTACCAATACGTAAAGTTCCATATCCAAACTTTATATTTTGGTGTGATAGACTTTTCTAAGTTTCAGCAGTATCATAGTTCAGCCTCTGACGTTTACAAACCCTGTGTAGAAAAACGTTTGATACAGGTCCATATTTTGATTTAGATCATGTGTTGTCAGATAACGATTTCAAATATTAGGTTGTGTTTCTAAAGAAAACTGTCTCATCTTTCATCTAAGCCCCTGTGTGTCAGTAGACCTGTCATGATAACACATTTTGAAGTTTGATATATTGTTGAGAATAAATATAGATGTGTCACTGACACAATAAACCTGAAGCAGATTCATATCATAAAAAACTATTCTATATGTTTAATACTGTTAAAAAACATGAGCTGCAATAAAGAAATAGATGACTTTTTGGTTGTTGGTCTGTCACCTGCTTGTTTCTATGGATATGTCAATGCTCTGCCTAGAACATTCCACAGTATGGCATTGACCTTATTTATTAAATGACAGCTGGTTTTATAGCTCAAAAATCCCTAGAAAAGCAGACACTCTGACTGTGAGTGGGGTCGCTTCTTTACATATCTGACCTGTAACTTGGTCTGGTTTGGTTTCCATCAAGATAGAAAGGCTTAATACTGTGAAACATTCCAGATAAAGCAATAACATCTTGATGGAGAATGCGGGCCCACCGGAAAAGTTACACAGTGCACCTTTAAATCTTGTCATAAAGTCAAAAAATTACCTCAAATTTATCAGTAGTGTAAAGAAAGAGTACACACGATAAATATCGACCCCACCAAAAAAATAACAACTTTTACATATTAAATGATAAGTTGGCATAGTACTCTGTCTATGTCTATGTGAGTCTCTGACAGTTACTTTGGCAACTTGAGTTGTACCAATCTGTCAAATGATGGCATCAAAACTATGATTATTTTAATAGTTGACTAGTCATCATTATTAAGTTATTAAGTGAAAGGTATGTCAAAGAATGTGAATGTGTGTGTTTTTATGGACATAGCAGTCACAATGGTTTAGACCAGGTTTATATGTTTTAACTGCAGATTTTCAACACCTATAGGTTTTTTTTAAAGGGGTTTAGAGTCCAGAAAGAAATGTTCAAATGTTTTCACAGAATTACATTTACGTAGGTCAAGACACATTTCAGTGCTTTTTGAGAGCAGATCTGGCCAGACTGATTGAGTCAGTCTGTAGTTTTAGGTCAAAGGGAAAAGAGTTCCACAGTCTAGAGCCTTTAAAAGAGAAGCTGGAGTGTCCAAATTATATTTTAAGCTTTGCAGCTCCACAGTCCCCTCCACTGACAGAGGCTCTGGTGTGATACCTGTGTTTTCCATATGACTGTAATCCATATGCACATTTATCTTTGTGTCTTTTTTTCGTTTTTAGGGCTCCAGATCTAGAGACAAACTGATCAAAGTGGACTCTTCTCTCAGCCCAGAGGAGGTGCTGCAGAGGCTCAAACAGGCCTTGAGCTGAACACTCAAATATGGACTCAAATAAAACCTTTCATTTTAATGGGCAAATGGAAAAGTGGGAAGGATGAACAAATAGAAGAGAATGGGAATGAACAACTGATCAGGGGCAGTACTTAAATAAACATACATAAATAAAAATCTATGACAATATATTCATCACTTTAAACATTTAAAAACACAGGATCACATTAAAGTAGCATGAAGGAAATGTCTTGCCCCAGGACACGAGTATGCAGTGTCACATCTAACAGATGCAAATCAAACCTTGGACTTAGTGCGACATAGTTTGTCTCTTTTTTTTTTAAGGCTTTGTAATTCTTAAGTTGGACTGTAGATGGTGCTGTGTGTCTGCGAGGTTCTGTTATACTGATGGAGAAGTTTGTGTAAACCAGACTGTATAATACGTTCTGTGGTATACACAGAAAAATATGTGAAGAAAAATTAAACATATCCATCCACATATATATAAATATGGAGCAAATAAATATTCAAGTAAAAGGGTCACATATAAAATCGACTTAAATATAAGTATTGCACTAACCGCTGTAAAAATGTACTGAAAGAGTGAAAAGTATTTTGCACAGATTTTGAGATCTAATAAAGATTCAAATGTACTTATTCTGATACAGAATTGTACTGCTAAACAAACAGTATTTCCATGGAAATGGGCAGGAAAAGGCGCCCAAATAAGAGTAAGGTGAAATGCAATAAACAATAAACGCAACCAATGAAAAAAGCTTTTATTTTAGTCTATTTTTTGGTTAAAAAGTTACATACTATACCTAAATACTAAATAGGATATTCAAAATCCGCTCTGTATTTTTTGTGTGTCAAATATGGCAACAAAGTTAAGCAAAAACATGGCACTGTCCATTTTAAAGGTCTTATATTACACAAAATTGACTCTTGTGAGCGTTTACCCAAGTTATAATGTTGTTATCTCATCAAAAACTACCTGGAGTTGTGTTTTGTTTCATTCACACATGTTTGAGTAATCCTGTAGTCTGCCTACATCTCCAAAGCTCAAAATGCTCTCTTCCACCTTGACAATTCCAGGGCTGAAATTATCCTAAGCACTTTGTGTTGCGTTTTTTGTATGAAAAGCGCTCTATAAATAAAGTTTGATTGATTGATTGACTGAAATGATTTTACTGTAGATGTATGGAGTTTAAAACACAGTGGAACAGAGTGTTTTCTGTTTGACCGAAGAACTAAGTCTAAATATGCAGGGTTTGTGTGAAAGAAACAAAACACAACTCCAGGTCTGTTTGTGAGGAGGAAGCAACATAGATGAGAAAATATATGAAAAAATAAAATGGGCCCTTTAAAATGCAAATGTCCCAAATACGTGCAGTGTTTACATAGTCTAAAAAAGCCTGATTTCTATGTGAAAACTTACATTTATAAGTAAACAGCAGAAGTTTCAAATTTACATCTCTAAATGTAAGATACTGTATGAAAGGTGTTTTTTTTTTTATACACCTGCAGAGTCTCTCCTTAAATAGACTTTTGTACAATATTATAAGTTATTCATGTGTAACAGCAGGACGTAACCTTTTAAAAGTTCCTTCAGCTCCGTATTTAAAGTCACCGTTAAAAGCACACAGCGCATACTAAAACTGCACTGGACGCTTATGTAATGTGTTTGTCTTGCTTTTAAGTCCTATGCTGCAATTATTAATAAATGACAATAGAAAAAAAGTGACATTTTTCGAGCTAACCTGAAAGAGCCTGTGCCGGTGCAGCTGTGACGTGATGTTTACAGCGGTTTTGATAATGGACTGAATCATGCCCATAAGTGTCCACCTGCATCAAAAAAACAAACTTGAATCCAGGGCAACAACACTTCTTCATTCACGAAAATATCTGCTTCCTGTAGTTGTGGTGTTTATTTGTGAGACCATAAGAGTCCAGTGCTCTAATGTGTTTTAAAACATTAGACCAGAGTGGAAAAATGACCAGAATCTAATTGAAATTACGATTGGTTGGTTGCAATTAGCCAATGGAAACAGTCTGCATAAAATTTTGGCCTAACTTAATCTCCATTTTTAATTTTAAAGGTCCTATATTACGCGAAATTGATTCTTGATTGAGCTTTAAGTCATTTTATAATGTTGTTACCTCCTCAAAACCTACCTGGAGTTGTGTTTTGTTTCATTCACACATTTGAGTGAATGTTATGATGTTATCAAGCGGTAGTTTTCAAGTTAAGAGCAGGTATGTTTTCATACCTGACAGATTGGACTGCTCACTAGCAGTCTTCCTCACAGTCATGTGATGTTACTGTGACATGTCGCTCAGCTGATTTAAACAGGTTTTGGCTCAGTCTTCCTACCGGCAGAGGCAGGACGACAGCGCCATCTGCAGTCTGACTTCCTCAGGAGAGAATCTAAGGTGTGTGAGAGTAAAAAAGCCCCCTCGTCCGGATTTATCGTCCTGTGGGCACGTTTCCGTATTTTGATTGCATCTTTAATCCAGCGACGATGTTTGTGTTCCTATGTCACAGTGACGTTTGCTCTGTCCCAGTCCATAATCTGGTTCTCTCTTTTACAATGCTCACAAATGGCCGATTTTAGTTGTTCCTGTTCCTAAAGAATTCAGACTGCAGGTGGCGCTGTTGTTCTGCCTCCACCAGTAGGAAGACAGCCCTCAAACCTGTATAAATCAGCTGACAGGACACGTCATAGCAACATCATGTGACTCTGAGGAAGAGCTCAGGGAGCAGAACAAACTGTCAGGTATAAAAACAAACTGAAAAAAGAACCTAATAACATGAATTATTGGAGGACCAAATTAACGTCACTGGACTACTTTTACCTTTAGTTCAGTAGAGACTGACAATTCCAGAACTGAAATTATCCAAATAATTCTAGTGAAGGTGTATGGAGTTTATAAACACAGTGGAGCACTTCCTTTTTTACCACATGACATCACAAGGTGTTTTCATTTGGGAGAAGAACTTGTCCTAAATATGCAGGATTTGTGTGTTACATGTGTGACTGAAACAAAAGACAACTCAGGTCTGTTTGTGATGAGGAAATTCCACACGCCTTCACTAGAATCAATCGGATAATTTAAGATCTGGAATTGCCAATCTCTGCTGGACTAAAGGTAAAAGGAGCTGTTCACTTGAAAACTACTGCTTCATGACATCACAAAATGGAACAGAGCATTTTACATAGCTAATAATAAAGGGTTACTCATGTGTGAATGAATTTTGAGGAGGAGGACATTATAACTTGGTTTTAAGCTCACAAAAATCAATTTTGTGTAATATTGGACCTTTAATGACTTCACATGTTAACATGGTTAAGAGCTCATCACGTCAGTTTAGCAAAATGCAATCAAAATCGAATCATAATTACGGTTTGAAAAAAGCCTGTGGATCATTCAGAGTCATTTACACGAATGGGCCCAGCTGAGGTCTGATCTATAAAAGCCTCTTGTTTGTGTTTGGCCTCTGTTGGTGTGTATGTGAAGTGTATTAAATATGTGAGGCCCATGTTTATCTGTGTGGGCACAGTGCACAGATCATGCTGCAGAGACAGATTACATGATTTACTCTGGAGGGACAACAGACCAGTGTATTATACAGGGGAATAGATCTCCAATCATATTTGGACATTTGTGCTCATTTAGGCAATCTCTGTTCAGACTGCATCACAAAGAAACGTAACACAATATTAGGCCAGCATAACCACTCTGTTGCAGTAACACAGGGAGAACATGCACATTCCAGGCAGAGACATCAGGAGTCTAACCTACAACCAAGGGCGGCACTGGGGGGGGGGCTTGAGGGGGCACTAGCCTCCCCTTGAATGGCCAACAGGCCCCCAGAGCTCCTCCAAAGATTTTCGCCCCATTTTCACAGGATATTCTGTCTCGACTAAAAATGTTCAAATGGTATGTTCAAAGTGAGACAACAATAAAACATTACATATTAGGTTTTATAAATCACTACAGAGTTAACCACATTTACCGTGTTTGCTTTGAGGCTGCCTGGCTCACATTGAGCAGTTTTTGAAACTTTTTGAGCTCAGTTTTTAACATCATATCATGATATTTGAACCAACTAAGAAGTACAGCATGTGCACTGTTGGATTGTGTGAAATTAGCTGTTTGTTTTTCTTGTGTCCATCGAGAAAGTCTAAGAGGCTAACTAAGGAGCTGACTAAAGATCTAGCTAAGGGCATTTTAGATGCTATGGTTGTTTTGCACTATATGTGGCAGCAAATGCAGCAGAAGATAATCCAAGACCTTGCAGAGGAAATACTGCAAGGGAATGGCCCAATTCATCACCCACCTAAACCCCAGAGTGAAGTAAGTTTGAGGCATTTTCTGTTGTATTCACATGGCGGACACTGAAAAAGGACACTGAGAAGCTCACTGTCGATGTTACTGCAGCAAAACCCTCCCTCAGGATCTGTCTCTCTTTAAAACAGCAAAGCAAACATGGTACAGGGTGGGATGCGCACACATCCATAAAAAGTTCCAAATTAGCATGTTAAGCGTTAACTCATTGAAGAACTTAACACCCCCAGAGCACCGACAAACCAGAAATGTCAGGTGCTGCTCCTGCCCACAACCTGAACTTGGACAAGGTAAAGTTCATAGGCATAGAGAGAACCATCATCTTCATCAGGAAGGTCATCGAGATCCAGAAACACAGACAACAGACTGTGAATCGGGACGAGAGGGCGTACCAACTCTCTCACAACTGGGATACAGTTCTGAAGAAGTGCTTATGCAAAATTGACTCTTTTGAGCTTTAAATCATGTTAAAATGTTGTTTCCTTATTAAAAACAAACCTGAACTTTTCTTCAGTTTTGTTTCATTCACACATGTTTGAGTAATCCTTTATTATTGGACTGTCCACGGGTCTAAACCTTTTTTTTTAATTGACGTAATACACAATAATATAATGATAATAATATTTTTTTTTAATAAAAGCAAAGGCAAGACAATAAGAAAAATAGCATACATGTAAACTTAAGCTGAGGCAGATAATACATCATTGTGCAATGATCAGTCATAAAAATTAATATCAGAAAACTGAGGAAGTTTAAAAGAACATCCCATTTCTTCTGTGTTCAATGACTTTTAGAGTTGGGGACAGTGTTATTAAGAGTTTGTAGACAGTTGTTGTTCATGTGTTTGTTAGAGCACTTGTTGCTGCTGATATTGATAACATTGATAAGAAGCTGGTGGGTGATTGTGGGTGTTGCTGTTTTCCATCAGTTCCAGTAGACCAGAGGGAAAGTACTGAATTCAATTCTTTTGAGGTATTTGGAAAAGTCTGTTGTCTAATAAAATGTTCATAAGAGTTTACCGTGGTCATTAAGTAAGTCCTGCCAAAATATAATTTCTCTATTGAACCATTTTGTACAAAATACTGATTTGTTTTGTTTAGTAATGCATTAACAATTCCAGATAAATCATTTGTGTGGAGAGAAGTTATGTTTATGGACTAATTTCCACAGCAATAACGCTTGCTGATAGAAGGCACATAGTTTTAAAGGAAGTTTAACAACATACTAATTACATCTCATTAAGAATGAATGACCTCCAACCTCATTAAAGACATTAGGGATAGACAGGGATAAAGTACCATAGAGTCAGAGTTTCCAGTGCATTGTCTGATCCATTTGGTCTTAAACATGTCATTTTAATCACAGAAATCAAATAATTCGAGGCGTGACTCATTGGGCCCGGTCATGCAGCTCTTTTGATATAATGGTGTTTGTTTTTCCAGACAAAGTCTGTAATAGATGTGTTGATACCATCAGACATTTTGTCACTCACATTCAGAGATAAAGCTGGATAGACAAACCCTTCAGCTTTTGTTCATAAAATCCTCCCCCAACTTGAGATATGTCTTTGTACCCATAGATTAAAAATACTTTTTTTTTTTTTTTTTTTTTTTTACATTGGGAGAGAAGTTTAGTTGCTGACACTCATTTTCATTTTTACTTATATAAATACCCAAATACTTGACCATATCTTTCACCTCCACATTGCATATAACAGATTTTAGACCTTTTCAGTCTGCAGAGATTTCAGAAAACGTTTGTGCCAACGCCAAGCACAGTCTCAACCTGGTGTTTATCTTGCAGAGGAC